TTCTTGAGCGCTAGCTCGACGCCATATCCTGCTAAAGAGAGCGGACGTTCAGAAGCATTGGTAACGGAGGGTCGGTATCTGATCGAGTATTGCAGGCCATGCTCAATAGCAAGAGTGTCTAGGTATTTCCGGAACTTTGTGAATTCACCATCATAAACATCTGCATACAAAATGGTAAAGAGAGAAGGGTCGTTCCGAGATGATTGAACGTGGTCTAGATCCATTGTTGTCGGCTTTGAACTTGCTCTAATTGTCAAATGTTTCGAGGCCGTTAGTGTAAATCCCTACACTGTAGTTTTTGACAGCATTTATCCACAATGTCCATATGAAGAATATTTACTTTTTAGAATACTGATCAAGTCCTTTTGCGACAATTGCCTCGAGTTCGGATGCTGTACAGACCTGATGATCGTACCAATCTACCCACACATTGCAATTAGGGTCGAATCCGCCTTTTGAGGCCCTATCAGGTACAATAGTCGAGTTGTAGAGGTGGTAGTGAGCCTCGATCCATGGAGCTGTAGTGTGCATGGCCAGTGACCATTTCAAACTTGAGATAGCCTGGCGGTGGAGATGACCTTGACTCTGGATGATTTCCAAGCTCTTGCCGTAAAGGTCCTGAGGGGAACTGACGGTTTTCAGAAAGTCAGGGCTGGTCAATTGACGCATCAATGGGTAGTACGAAGTCCTATTTTCCACTGCCACAGCCTCCCTAGAATATTCACATAAAAATAGTAGAGAAAAAAAGGCTGGGGTTAGATAAACAGGAAAATGACGCGTCATAACCTTCGCAATTGATAGTATGTGGCCGATATCATACAGGATTTCAAGCAGCAAAGGTGGTGCGGCCCAAGGAGTGTGAATGGAAACTTGGATGGGAGGAGAATGATCTGCATGGGTCATGACCTGCAATGTGACCAAGGCAAGGGCCAGGACAGATGTCCGTAAAGGTGACCCAAGAGGACGCATGCTGACTTTTCTTTTCTTTTTTCTTTTTTATCTCTTTTTTTTTTTTTTTTCCTTTTCAGTAAATGATGGAGAAAGAAAGAGAGAAAGATGACTCGAATATATTCCAAGGAAGCATTGACATATCTAATTGACGCCAGAACGAACATCCGTTGGACAGTCGCGATTGGCCGTCCTAAATGTGACTGCATCTCCCTTTGGCAGTAGGGCATTGGCAGTGGCGCGTCTCATATTGTAAGAATATGGCGTCCAAGGGAATGTGGGAGAGTCAATGCATTTCATTATTCTGCAATATCAATGTCTTTCAAACCCTGCTATCAATCGAGCCTCTTTGTGAATGACCCATTGTTTAACACTGCAAGTTGTGTCGAAGGATTATTCCAAAATGCTCAATACAATAACCAATAAATAAATGTGTAAACTTATAACGTTCTTATGCTGAGCCTATTCTCTCAATGCACTGATCCATGGTGTCACTGCGTAGCACAAAACGAACTATGAGATCTTTATTTCTTTGGTCCATCAATCCTTTTTTTTTTTTTGCATCCCTTTTTCGAACCATTAAACATGCATTCAACCATTACTACACCTAGCCCTCGTGTCCTCAGTATCCAATCACATATCGTTTCGGGTTACTGTGGCAACAAAGCTGCTACTTTTCCTCTTCAATTGCTCGGATTCGACGTCGATGTTCTTAACACCGTCAATTTCTCTAATCACACAGGTCCGTCCTTGCATTCATGTCATTCCAACCATGTTGATTGTCAACGCTTACTAATGTCTCTTTTATATATTTTGCCCCTTTCAGGCTATCCATCATGGACTGGTGAGAGAGTTACAGGTTCTCAAATTATGAAGTTATATGAGGGCCTCCAGATCAATGGACTTGTAGAGTACACACACCTGTTGACAGGTAGGTCTGGCATGACAAGCATCAACATGTATAAAGAAAATAAACGATGGCGTTTGAGGATACAACCCGATTCGTTGTATTTTAGATCGGCTCTCTAAACTTTTCTTTTCCTCAGGATATATTGGCAGTGCACAAAACCTCACCGCAGTAACTAAAATCATTTCACAACTGAAGGCTCTTGGTGACCCTTTCTTTGGTAATGAGTAGCAAAAAAAAAAAAAAAAAAAAAAAAAAAAGATGCTACAATGTAAAAACCACTTTGTTGCCTTTAGATAATTTGCTGAGTGTGAAGAGGAACATCTTTTGCAATACATAAATAGTTCTCGATCCGGTTATGGGTGACAATGGACAATTATACGTCCATTCAGATGTGATTCCTTTGTACAGAAAACTCATGAAGTACGCGGATGCCATTACCCCAAATCAGTTTGAGGCAGAGTAAGTTTACCGCCCTTATTGTGCTTCGCTCTATTTAAACAAATGGCTTTCAGTATTTCTGTATTAAGCATGGATACATCTGAACAATCCTTCTCCGCACAATAACATAGAGTGCTTACAGATCGAAAGATTACTGATATCAAGTCGTGCTTGGAGGCAATTGATATACTTCACACTGCTGGAGTAGAGAATGTAGTCATCACATCCGTCTCTCTGTCTCCAGAGGATATTGCTGCAAATACTGAAGGAAAATCTAACGAAGAGCCGCATGGCAAGCAAGGCGAAAAAGCAGATAATTTGCCGATGTATTGTGTCTGCAGCAGTAAAGAAGATCAAAGAGTATTTGCAATTGGGTTCCCAACCTACGACGGATACTTCACAGGAACAGGAGATCTTTTCTCAGCATTACTTCTCGCTCGACTGGATGAGACCCTCCAAGAAACTCAAGCAAGCAGCGCTCAAAATGGAATCGAGCAGTCCAAGGCACAATATGTGACGCCTCTTGCAAAGGCGAGTCTTAAAGTGGTTGCAACAATGAAGGCAGTGGTATTGCGAACATTTTCGGCGCAAAAAGAGATCACAGGGAAACCCATTGACAAGGCGCAGGCATCATCTGCTGCCGTGGTAAAACGATGCGAATTGCGTCTGATCCAGAGCAAGAAAGATATTGAGCAGCCGAATGAAGAAGAGGTCGTAGCAATCGAGCTGCATAGAGTGTAAAGACAGAAGAATGTATTAAATTAGAAACGCCCCCTTGGATGACAGAGATATCTCCCCTTCATTTTAGACTAGAGAGACATACATATTAGAATTTGTTCTTAATACCATATCATATGAGCATAAGCGCACCAGTAAAAGAATGGACCTTTGACGGCGGAATATTTCCGACCCCTCCGTTGATGATCTTCAAACATCAAGAAGAGAGATTACGAACAAGTACCTTTGCTAACTTTACATTGTTCTACGTGATGTTCATACATGGTTTATCATAATAGAAAGCTGTGCTCTGGTGTTTCATTCGATTAAAATGATATACTAAATTGCTAAAATGAATGGATTTTCAACAGCGCTGACATGCGAGAACTGCCCTAAAAGGAGGAGAAGAGCCAACATCGAAAGGATCAAAAGGCAAAGTTGCTGTAACCGCTTGACTGCCGTGAGCCTATTTATTTAGACCAACTTCATTTTCTTCAATACTTCCACGCTATTCTAATAATCAAATCAGTCAAATAATAAAGAAAACCCCCCCCCCCCCCTCTCCTTCCGCAAATTAGATCAGCTAATGGTGAGTGTCTCTTGGCTATCAATTTAAGGCATCCTCATGTATAAAGCGTCAAAGCCACGTTAAACTGGAGCGCCTCTGATAGTGCAAAGGCCCCTTCAATCCCGATTGAGTTACCCTTCAAGTCCACAGTGGTCAATGCAGTGTTCGTCGCCAGTGCCTCTGCTAATGCCAGAGCTCCTTCAGTCCCAAATGCATTGAAACCCAAGTTCAAAGTGGTCAAAGTATTGTTGACCATGAGTGCCTCTGCTAATGCCACAGCTCCTCCATTCCCGATTGGGTTCCAACTTAAGCACAAAGAGATCAAAGCCGTGTTAGTCGTCAGTGCCTCTGCTAATGCCAGAGCTTCTTCCTTCCCAAGTGAATTGGTCCCCAGATTCAAAGTACTCAAAGTCGTGTTGACCTTGAGTGCCTCGGACAGTGCCAGGATTCCTTCTTTCCCTATTGAGTTACACTCCAGGTTCAAAGCGGTCAAAGTAGTGTTTGTCTCGAGCGCCTTTGACAGTGCCAGAGCTTCTTCATCCCCAATAAAGTTATACTTCATGTCCAAAGCGGTCAAGGTTTTGTTAACCTTGAGTGCCTCTGACAGCGCTACAACTCCATCATTCCCGATCGAGTTGTATCCCAAGTCCAAAATAGTTAAAGCCTTGTTAGTCTTGAGTGAATTTATAAGTACTAGTAATTCACTGGCTCCAATTCCTCGAAAACTCATCTCGAAGGATAACCTATGGAGATGTGACGATCTTTTGGGTTGTAAGTTGAGAAGCTTTATGAGATCCGGAGATAGAACAATATGAATCATTTTCATCTTGCAGAGTCCTATGATGCGAACAAGTATTTCATATCGCATGAATATTGAAAGTAGTTCCCTGCTGGCGCTTCCTTCGCTTGCTTGAAACCATTGAAGCCCAAGCCGGAGAATCGATACACTTGATACCTTTAAGACATTCTCAAATGCTTCAAGCTCAACCTCGGTCCAATCCCAATCGAATGTGATATCCAACTCATAAACACGTCTTGCATTGGTTAGGATCGTGAAGAATTTTTCAGCTTTGGTTCTGGATTCCAAAGTGACAATCACTTTACCAATGTACGCGTCATATTTACCACCATTGGCCATTACTGCACTTTCAAACGCCTTCTGTTCTTGCTCTTTTAACGTCGGACGATAGTGATCGAGGCAAACCCATTTAAAATGCCCTGTTCCGGTCGCAACCCTGTACAAATCGTCAATTTGTCTGTCATCATTGTTGGTTCGAAGAAATGTTCTCAGCTCTCGGAGCTCAGCTCTCTCAAGTCCTTCATAGTCATCGATTGTATTGATGTTGTTCAAGTCCGGATGCTTCTTAGAGAGCGCATCCATATAGCCCATTAAACAGTCGGTACCGATATCGATTAAACTTGAGTCTGGTGCTGAAGAAGCAGACGAAGGCATTCCCAACTTGAGCCAATGTAAGAGGATGAGCATATATTTTCCATACTTCCTGACGATTCCTGTGCAATCTCGGACTTCGTATCCGTCATGTTTGGTAATATGGATTTGACTCTGGCTACTTTTGCCGGGCATTGTGGTGTGGCCACCAGATTCACAAAGGAAATGGAGACGGAACTTGTTCTTCAAGACATCCGCTGAGTCCCATCTGGGGCGGTCGACAGGCAAAATTATAAATAATCGAGGAAATGGACATTCGTGAAGCTCAAAGTTCTGGGAGAGGATAGCATGAGCACGCTTTTGAAGGCTGGCAAGTCTGTTGAGGGCTTGACTTTGCATTCTGTCGTCCTTTTCCCTAGTCCCAGATAGTAGCCCAAGCATCTTGTCTTGCAACTTGAGCATCTCAACATCCTTCTCTTTAGCCTCCGACAGCAGACTAACTATCTTATCGTCCTTTTCTTTGATTTCCAACAGCAGACTAACTATTTTATCATTATATTCTCTGACCTCCAACAGATTGACCAGCTTGTTGTCTTTTTCTTTGGTTTCCAGCAGAGCAATCTTGGCATCCTTCTCGCTGGCCTCCAATAGCAACTTTTCAGCCTTTTCAAAGTTGAAGACGATCGTCTCCTTTTGTGCGTCGGTGAGCGTAAACGAGCTGAGACATTCAATCAACTTTAATAATGGTGAAAGAGGATCCTGAGAGACCAGATTTGCCGAATTTTTTAATGTAGGCAAACGAATGGTGGCGTTGCTGCCGTTGTTACTGTCGCTGGGCTGCGGTACATCTGTAATGACATCCAGGATCTTGTAAGGATAAAATGCAATGCGCAGAGGTTCGATTCTAATAAAGAGATACACCAGATTTAGTTCCTTTATCTTTTTCAGAGACAATTGCGATTGATAAGGCGCACGATAATTAATAACGCACCTGTTCCCATTAGGGTCTATAAGGAACGGGATGGGATCCCCGTCCAACTTGAAGCGCAATGCATCTGGAAACACGTCTTGAATGTCTTGCAAACTTACGTAGCAAGACGAGTTGACATTGCTTGCAAAGGTGGAAGCAATTCTGACACAAACTTTTTCAATAATGTCGGCCTTTCGGAATTGTTGGTATTGATGCTCTGTCATTTCGGTAACAACTGAATGAGTGATGACAGATGAAGGATTTCCTTAATTCTCTTATGCGATGATCCTTTTCTTTTTCAACTTCGCCACCTGGCGCGACAAGGGCACGACAAGCGCATAACAAAGCAAATCTGTCCCGTTCGCTCAACCCCTGCAGCTCGCTTGGTTTTATGGAGTTGTGCTTGATCAACTGGTCTTGATTGAATTCATTGGTCGCACTTCGATCCAAAGCTTTTTATTGTTCATTTGTGGCCTTTGCTGGGAGTAGAAATGATGCTTCATCTATTGTGGTCAAGCATGATACCTTGTCCCAGAATGGTTGGATATAAATGGCATTATCGTATTCAGTCTATGGCATTTGAGGATCAGTTAACAGTGCACCTTTGCTGGAGATTTTCAGAGGTGAGTTTTGAACCAACAGATCTAAAAGTGAGCTTTGGTGCTTTTTCATCTCGATGCTTGACCTCTTGATCACGTTTAACCTTAATAGAGACAGCTGGACAGTTCTGTTTGGTTTTGCAATCTGGTCGAAAGGAGGAGCCAAAGAACTTTCGATGAATTCAGAACCGACCAATTTTTTCCTAGATTTATCCGATTTTGCTGCTGCGTGGGAGGGTAAAACTGTAAATGGCTATAGTAGAAAACAAAATGCATTATGGTATACATCGCGGTCTTTGGGCTTTGGGCTATATTGATCATTTCCTATTCCAAATACCCTTGCACTGATACTATAGTATTTTTTTTTTGCTCGTGTCAGACTTACCTGGTACTACTATCATCCTCCACTGTTTCCTCGTCAAAGATCTCATACGGCGACTGTGTTGGCATTAAAGATAACAACACATCACTTAGTCGAAGAAGGCTAGCTTTGGATCAGCAAGGGTACGATAAGAGTAAATAAATTGGAATCTTGAGGGCGCAGTCTCCAGAGCCTAGTTTTGGTATTAAGATATTCATTTTCAATCATCACAACAACAAAAAAAAAAAAAAAAAAAAAAAGGGTTTTTTTATATTTTGTTCCTCGACTATTGTACATCTAGTCGATGATTTGATTTTAGTAATCAAATAAGTCCGATGTCGAAAGTACAGTTGTTCATATGGATAGGACTAATTACGGAAGAAGAATGATTGGAGATAGACCAGACAGACATGTCATCTTGCCCGCACAAGTCGATAGCTTCTATGTATTATCCTTTTTTATTTTGTTCATATACTTAGAGCATTCGTCTCATGACTGCATACGGATGTTCAATCGAATCTTACTAATCGCCCTCTCTGTTTTATCCATTTGTTCTTCGAGCATATCCGCCTTACGTCTCGTCATCGGCCCACCGCCTGAAATCGGGATCTTGCTCAGATCCGCTTGTAGCTAATTTAGATGCGGACGAACAGTGGGTAGGTAACAAAGAAGTAAAGAAAGTGATTATTATTTCTCCAGAACCACGGTACAAATGAAACAATGCTAAAACACTTATGTACGTACCCTCTCCTTTTCCTTAATGAGGTGCTGTAGTTGAGTTGTCAATTCCTCAATAGTTTGCATACCAACAGCCACTGCTGCGCCTGAAGTAGTTGCTGAAGACCCTGCAGATCCAAGCGAGTCTTGCAACGATAAACGGTTATTACCCACGTTTCCATTCGCTATGATTCCTGTGATTGAACTAGAGCTGCCACGATGAATCATTCCAGGCTTAGCTTCGATATCTGGGGTTGCTATTCCTGCTACCGATGTGGCCATTCCTCCATGGGTCATAGCAGGTGCCATTGGTGGAAGTGCTGCAGCTTGTACGCCACTCTGGGCTGAGCTTGCATTAATCTGGTTTGACAACAATGATGAAGAGGATGACGAAGCATCAAAACCACGAATAGGCTGAATTCCAGTTGCTAATGACGTGGCTGTAGTCGTCATGGACGAGAATGGGCCAGATGATGATAATGGATGGCCGGGTCCAGGTGAAACCATGTTGTTGTTGCCTATCATATTCAATGGGATATCAGAAGAAGCAGTCATCACCACCGGAGTAGCTCCAACGTTGATGCCATTGCTACCATTTGCGTTATTTTCCACCATCAAAAACGATCCGTTGAGATCACCATCTATAGAAACACGCCTTCCGTATTGGCTGTTCAACCGTTGCTCCTCCTGGAGTTTTTGTTGAAGAAGAACAGTTTGTCTCTGCTCTACCTCCAAACTAGCACGCAGATTGACAATCTCTGTTTGTTGTTGATGGAGCTGAGTTTGCTGCAACTGAATTTGCTGTTGTAGTTGGTGGGATTGATATTGCTGCTCCTGCAGAGCTTGTTCACTAGTTACAGTTTGTTAAAATAAAGTTAGTAAAGGCTCATCATGGTCTTGATGCCACATCGTAGGGGGACATGTCCAATCCTACGACACTTACACTCTTGAGCGTTGCTCTCTTTCCTCGGTTAGACTTTGTTGATGAATCGAAATCTCATCCTACAGCGTACAAAAAGGTGAGGAAATGACAATCAGTAACCACGAAACTTTTTTTAATAAAAAAAAAAAAAAAAAAAAAAAAAAAAAAGGCCCTTCGACATCTCATCAATGTCATGTTGTATAAGAGGAGATGATAGACTAAAAGATTACCTGTAGTCGGACAACTTCTTTCTTGTACTGATGATCTGCAACTTCAGCATTTTCTTGGCATTTTTCATGTTCTTTTACTACTTCTTTGAGAGCGTTGTTATCTCGAATATGGTTCCTATTATTCACCAGCGCATATATAAAAAGAATTTTAAGCGCATGTATCAAAAATAAATTCCTTGAGCACACTTTGTACTAACAAATATAGAAAAACGAAACCACACGTACGCAATAGTATCCTGAAGTTGACTGATCTTGACCAGGAGCTGCCCTGAATCTTCCTGTTCACGTGCTATCTTCGCCTTTTCTTCAGCCAATTCCGTCCTTAATTTTTCGCAGCGTTTTTTCTCTTCGTCGAGTTCCTGTGTAGCTGAAAACAATGATTGATGCACATCCTGAAGCTCTGCTGGGACAACCTGGAGTTCAAGTTGGTCGATCTCATCTTGCGCCTGCGTCAACTTTGTTTCCAGTTCTATGGCCAATAATTATTAGGGAATTTAAAGAATGATGAATAAAAATCTAAAAGGATCATACTGTAAGAAAGGAAGCGAAAGTAACGGGCAGGAGGGTTTTCATGTTTGCAAAATCACCTCTATTGCGAATCTCCAGCTCTTGTAACTTTTGCTTTTGGCTGGCAGCTGCGTCCCCAAGCGCCTTCTCTGCTTTCAATTTCTCCATGTTCAAATCCGCTTTTAAGCCTTCGATCATTTTCTCAAAATCAGAAATACGCGAGTCTACAGCTTGTTGTTGTGAGTCGGCTTCAATCACCTTTGCTTCTGCAGTCTGCAACGAATCCAAGGCAGTCTCGAGATCCCGCTCAAGATCTGAAATTTGTTTCTTCATTTTGTCTGCAACAACTCGCTCTTGCTTATAGGTTTCCAGCTCTATCCTATAGCGGTCTAGTTCTTCTGTTAACTTTAGTATCATCTGGTCGCTCTCGCCATCATTCTCTGCTGTAATCTCTTGTGCAAAAGAAAACGAAGGTGAGGCCGAAACAATAGCTGTAGTTGACTGGTTTCCCATAGCATGATGATTAAGGGTCATAGGTCGAGATAGAGGCGACTGCTGTAATCCCGTTATCTTTCTAGATGGTCCTGATGAACTTGAGAGTCTTGGTGGCGAAAGAGACTCCCGCTGTCGAAGATCCGGCCCCATACCAATAACAGTGGCGGGAGCAGGTGAACGTTGTTTTAGGCCAGAGATAGTGCCAGTTGAAGGCAGAGAAGACAACTTTGAAGGGACAGAAAGACGAGATCTAGGTTGAAGTGCTGGAGAGGGTATACTTGAAGATGAAGATAACGGACTGGAGATAGTACCGGGTTTTCGAAGAGCGGACGGAGATGATGATGGAGTGGTATCGGTCCCGCTCTTATAACTTGGTCCACGGAGTCCACTTGCAATCTTATCATGCTGTGGTACACCACTGGTCCTTGATTTCTGTGCAATAACATTAGTCTCTGAAAAGATATGTCCCATATTTTCTGGACGATCAGCTATGCCAACTTGTCGTCGTGTACTTGCCAACGACAAGTCTGATTGATGATGACGAAGGCTTGTTGGTCGTTTACTGAGTACTGTGGCAGGACTTGATCCCTTATTATCGGATCGTCTCCTCTGTGGTGGTCGGAGGACATTGGTAGCACTATTACTATTGGTACCTGACTGATAACCATGAACACCTTGTAGGGATGTGGAGCGTGCAATAGGGCTACCTCCCTGATGGGATTGTTGGAGCTGTTGCTTCTGTTGAGTCGTTTGTGAGCTTGAGTACGATAATCTTGGTCTAAAGCGGAAGCAAGGATGAGAAAGAGTGAGCGAGGAGGGAAAGAATGCAATATCAGGAGATTAGGTTACTTTGAGCCGTAAAAGACAAATGCGTGAAAGAGCCGGCTAGGAGAGAATAAATGTGGAAGTGAGGTAGACAAAGGAGGAGAGGGGAGGGAGAGGCGATGAACGGGACCAACACCAGATCAACATCAGTATTGAAATAATGTGTGCAATCAACATTACCCTCGCAGCCTTGATTGTGAACTGGCCAACGCAGTCGACTCGTCGTCGCTGTCCTTGAGCATCCGCAACAATTTGACAGAGCCTATTTCATCGCGTGAGACTTTTTTTTTAAAAAAAAAAAAAAAAAAAAAAAAGTCAGCTTTTAATAGTATGCCAATGCCTCAAGTGTGTTCAAGTAGGTGTGTGGTATATTGACAAGGAACGAACAGATATGATAATTGATATGTTTGGGTATTGTTACCATCGGAGAAGGACCGGTCAAGGTCAGAGTCATCGTCAAGGGAGAGTGCTGCAAGTTGGTTGAGGTTCACAGGCCAACGTACTTGGGCAGGTGCTTTGAGTGAGGAACGATGCGACAGGGAGGTGGCAGATCCTGTTGCTGTCCCTGCAGAATGGAGAGTAATACCTTGACTGAAAGTGCCCATTTGGAGGAAGGGAGAGGGAATAGAAAAGTGTGTCTATGGTTATTTAATAACTAATGCTTCTTTTTTTAAAAAATGAAGAAAATAAGGGAATGGAAGTGACTTTCAATAAGAATGAACAGAACCAACCCAGTTAATGTTGACAAGCTGAAATGAAAGTGAAATGAAAGCAAAAGAGAGAGAGAGGGAAAGAAGAGGGAAAGGAAGAAGAAAAAAAGATTGGTTCTTTTTGTGTTCATTAACAATAAAAATTCCATGCTAGTGCACGAGGACGCACATGGTCATCACTAGCATCCATTGATTGATGAGCAACTTCGACGCGTTCTTCTTTTTATTACATTTTACTATTCTAAACTGGTCAACAGTATTTACTAGTATTGCCTTTGGTAAGGCCCATCACGCTGGATTCCTGGCCCATGGTGAGGTAGCGGCTGTGAGTTGGGAAACGATGGTGAGCCTGGATATGATCTATTGTTTCCATTATAACCACTGTAACCATTACTGTTATAGCCATTATTATTGTAGCCATGGCCATGGCTATAACCATGATTATAACTATTGTTGTAAGGCACAGGACCATATCCTTGTTGAGGATATCCTTGCTGAGAATATGGAGGAGAGATGGGTTGTGATGAGTATGGACTACTATGATGCTGATGGTATTGTGGTGAATGTTGCTGTCCAGCATAATGTGGGTTATAATAGCTTCCGGATGCTAACGACCGATCATCGAGATAATCTTCACTGTATGCACTTTCTGCATACGGATCCTCTCTGCCTCGAGTATGGGGAGAAGTAGGGGACATGGGTCCCTGTACTAGGCCTCGATTAGGTGGGCCAGGACGCTGAGATGGTAGCGGACCTGCTGCAGGTGAGAGCGCCGGCATCATTGATACTGTGGACTCTGTCATGGCCACCGAGAGAAGATGGTCAGGAGGTGCACTCCCATTATTCTTGAGGCGGTCGTTAGTATGTTGATTCGCCATCAACGCCTCGGCAGAACCAATGCTTTGTTTGTGACCCATCATCTTATTGTTGTGGGCCTGCTGAGCCTGCTCCAGTGTAAGATAGGCACTATCCCCGTCTGAAGAAGATGAGGAACGTTGGTTACCAGATGGCTGCGCCTGATCAGGTTCAAACATAGGTGATGCCTTTTTCACATAAGCTTCAGGCTTATCTAGTCCACGCAAATCACGTCGAGGATCGATATCTTCTTTACCAAGGTAATACTCTGGTGCAGGTGTCAAGTTACCATGCGTTGGATCTTTGGGTTGTGGGGCAGGTCGCTGAGCACCAATGGATGGGGCAACTGCAGCATTGTCTGGCCCTTCAAAGTAATCGTCTACAAGATGATTATGGTCGTAAATCGAGTTTGTTAGGGATTCCTTGTTGCCGCTGTAGAGCTCTTTCTCGTTGAGATAGCCATTGTTATTAACGAGGGCGTTTTCTTTAGGATTGCCGCTATTGCTGTTGTTCTCCCTGCGTTCCGTTAGAGTTTTATGGATAGCACTGCCAGGTTGAGCAAAAAGCTCGTCTCTCATGCCTGGTCGGAATTGCTGCTGTTCTCTAAAGTGAGCTTCAGGACGATGAGCAGGTGCAGCCTCAATGCCGTCATCAGGTGCCAAAGACATTGGCCCAGAGATGGTGTTGTTCGTTGAGAGAGCGGTACTTGTAGTAGGAAGGTCACCCTTGCTGCCACCTCTGACATCTGCAGTAGCGACAGTAGCCCTTTTACGCCTTTTGTAAAACAAGAGCCCGACTAAAGCAAACATCATGGCTGCACCCGCTGCAATCCCTCCGATGACAGCGCCGGATGGGCCGCCAGCTGACTCGGGAGCAGATGACGAAGTAGGTAAAGCAGCTAGTGTCGATGTGCGGTCAGAAACAGCGGCGGATGACCGTGGCACACGCGTTACTGAACGAGACCCCTGGTTGGTGGGTCGAGCAGTGCGAGTAGCCCGAGTAGTGCTGGCTCCAGTGGCTATAGGGCGTGAAATAGTGCGGCGAGGAGTGGCGCGTGTGGTTGTGGTGGGTTGGTCAGCCATGGTTGGATAAGGATTGGAATTGGACTATTGAAGTAGGATTATGAACAGGTGAAATAGCGTGGCATGGAGTTAAGGAGTGGAGGAGATGTGAAGGGTTGAAGGAATGTACGGATTAGGAAAGGAGCCAGATATCTTTCAATCCGGGTAGGGGCACCGGTGAGGAGACGGAAGGGAATATAACGAAGCGCGGAAAGGAAAGAAGAAAAGGAAAGAGATGAAATAGATGAATGATGAGAAAAAGGAAGAATGCAGATGGACGGAATGCCTTGCCATGACCAAAAGAAAATATGGTCTGTAGGTATTGAATATGAGTGGCAAGTAAATTGCTCCTTTGCTGACAGCGACAACCTGCTTGCAGACGATCATTTCGGTGTGTTCATGTAGCCAATCAGTCCTCCCTACACCTTACCATGGACATTGGGCGAGAGACGGAGCTGGTCATGAATACAGTTTGACTAGCAGACATCTTTTCATCAAAGTGAGCCCAACTGAAGGCAAAATAGGACGAGAGCACAAAGGTAATTACTCAGGCACAAAGTGTAAAACCCAGTCAAAGTGCACAAAAGAGTTAGGCTTACAAGTGAATAAAAGGAATACCAGGAAAAATCTGCAGCAACCTAAACAAATAAAGAAGTATGCATAATTTGTATTGCTTTATTAAATACAAACGAAGAACAGATGATTGGCACTTAAGACAGGGCCAAATGTCATCACCTCCGCTGTGTTAAGAATGAACGCTACAACAAGTGTAAGATCAAGCACCTCTGGTTTACTTGGACAATGAGGTCGCAAGATCGCTCATTAGATAAAGGTAATCATCTGTCTTGGATTTATTATGCTCACGTGGAAGATCCAACAACCTTTAGAACAAGTCGAGACTCTGGCTCCTTCTTTGATCACAGAAGCTGGAAGTGATGGGCTTCACAAACCACGTCAAGAACCACATCCCCACTCAATTCGACCCCAAATTCCCCAGCATTGACAACCAACTGTTTCTTTGCATTATCTCGCCGTTAGAGAGCGTCAATCCCACAGATATGATTCAAACTTGCAGAAAAATATTATTTAATACATGCATGATGTGTGTCAATGAATATATTATATATATATATATATTATATGTATATATATATATACTACCAAGCAAAACTATGCCAATGACCCCCTTTCTTCTAATATCTTCTTTTTGTTTTCTAGAAATCGCTTATGTAGGCATTGTTCATATTTGGCATCAATAAAGGCCCCATCACCTTCTGCATCATTATTATTAAGTATGGACTTTCAGTTCGATTTTAAATTGAAATAGCTAATTTTTTTTTTTTTTTTATTTTTTTATTTTTTTTTTTCAAACAGGTCTTTGGTAAAATTTTGGGAGTGGTCTCGAATGTTGCTCATGATGATCTTTGCTCTTGTATTGCCGGAAAAAAAAAAAAAAAAAAAAAAAAAAATCTCTCCTTCCTCTCTCTACGCATACTTGCTCAACTTCCTTCTCACCATACCTATGCTGAATATGAAGCCGATTCCACTAAGCAAGGTCAACAATGCCAAAAGGCTGATATTAAATGGTATGTCTGATCGAGAAGCGGCTGCTAGCGCCAGTATTTCGCAAAGAACGGTCGCTAGGATATATGCAGAGAATAAGGAGGACATGCCGATCAGAAAGCGTGGTCGACCACGGAAAGTACCTACAAAAACTACAGAGTATCTCAAGCTGAACATGAAACGAGGTGTGTTCAAGTCCGCCGTTGAAGCCGCTACCAAGGTCAGTCAGTCCTTGCCGGAGGCTGTCTCCGCATCGACAATCAGACGACGCCTCAAGGAGTCAGGCTTAATAATCAAAAGGCATGTACGCCGACCAGCTCTGCGAAAACAACATGTTAAGGGGCCTCTACGTTCCCCTAGGAAATACTAGAAGTGGACTTTAGAAGGAATGTTTGGCCCGACGAGTCGAAAATTAACCGTATTTGTTCCGATGGCGCTCAGTGCGCCTGGGACAATATTCCGGGGCACAGAACGCAGATCAGGACGGGGGGCCGTCAAGTTTGGAGGAGGGCAATCTTAAGGTATGGGCCTGCTTCTCATGGGAAGGACCCAGATACATTACATTAATTGACGACACCCTGGATTCACAGCTTTGCATCAAAATCCTCCAGGAAGATCTAGAGATGGCGCTACACGAATGGGATAAAGTAAAAGGCGGTTTCATCTATCAGCACGACAACGACCCGAAGCATATGGCAAAGGTTGTCAGGAGCTATTTAGAGTCAGTGCACCTGACTAAAGAGAAAAGGACGCTTTTGGAATGGCCAGCGCAGTCTCTTGACTTCAACCTCATTGAACACATGTAATCCAAGCTGGAGAGATGGCTTGCAAAGCACCCAAAACGAGCATAAAGCTGTCATGAGTTGTGGCAACGAATTTCAGTGGAGTGGTATAGGATCCCAATAGAGTACTGCTGTAGTCTTATCACGAGAATGTATCATAGGCTCCAAGCTTTCTTTGCAGCTAAAGGCTGCAATACTTCGTATTGATATGGGTGATGGCTAGTGAAAGAATAATTTTTTTTTTTTTTTTTTTTTTTTTTTTTACCGGAATAGCACTCCCAAAGACCTGCTTGAATAAAAATTTGCATATTTGATCAAATAGATAGGATATCTCAATTCCACGCATAGAGAATGAATTAATAAATACCCTGATAATGTGGTGCTGCGATCCACAATCGATTCTCACCTATCCTTCAACTCCCGGCTAGTATTTTCCATGGTTATTTCAATTAAAATTCGATCTGAAAGTTTCATACTTAATAAATAATAATGATATAGAAGGTGATGGGACCTTTATTGACGCCAAGTATGAACAATGTCTACATAAGCGATTTCTAGGAAACGAAAAGGGGACGACCATTGGCATAGTTTTGCTTGGTATTGTATAAAGACCTAAAGTTTGGCCATGATATCCATAAATGTTACTTCAGCACTTCCTTCTCTCTTTGTATCTGATACTGGGCGCAATTCAGCAGTGTAATCGGTTACAATGGGCCTGTCGACCTTCTCACACAAAATAAACCCTTGCACGCCTGCATTGTAGTCTTCCATGTATCTGTCCCAATCTATACCGCTTTTGAGTTCGCTCTTGAGCTCTGCAGGTGCAGCATCATCAAGGACTAATGTATTGGTTACATCAAAGAACCATTCAGACTGCAAAAAAGCTATGAGAACTGTAGGCACAACCATTGCCCTGGAGATATAAACTTTACGCTCCTCGTCATGTTTGTGCCGAGCTAAAGTTCGGATCTCCCCTCCAAAGCGAGTATTATATCGATATTTGAATTCTGCAGGAGGGTAAAGTTCGAATCGAATGTCATCTGAGACTCGCTGGCTTGGTGGTGCAACCGCTCGCCAGTATGCGACCATATACATACCAAAGCGACTCCAGGTGATGGGATTAATGCAGCTGGTACCGACATGATATATGCGAGGCTCTGTGAGTGTGCGATCAGCAGTCGTGGCGGAGAGAAGGGTCGTTTTGACCACAAAATCGACAGGAACTAGGTCTGCTTTAGCGGACTAGAAGGTTATTGTGAAAACATAGAAACACTCATCAATATTTGCCTTGACTTTGATAAATATAGCGCTCTTTCTTTCTTTCTTTCTTTCTTTTTTTTTTTTTTACTGACTTCTGCTTAATTACCTCGTTACCGATCCATTCTTGAATTAGACCGATCGAACCAGCCACAATCGCTTTGTTGGTTGCAGCAGACCCTTCTACCCATCCAGGAACTGGTTCCTTGTAGGCAGCAGTGACAATGGCAGGGCGGACAATGACAATAGGGAGAGCCATATCCCTATATCGGCTCTTTATCAAATGTTCTGCCAAGGACTTGGCGAATGTGTATGTATTGGGGTAAGCCTTGAGGACCACAGATTCCTCATAATCTTTTATCTCTTTGGAGGACATCTTGGTGGACAGCATATCATAGATGGCTTCAGGATCATCACCAAGTGGGTGCGGATAGATGATTTCGTCAATATGTTGCTCAAACATGGGTGCGTTGACAAAGCAAGTCGAGATATGAACGATGGCAGCTAAATTTTTGCAGCCCTTGGCAATTTCGAATATGCGGAGAGGGCCATTTGTATTTATCTGAAAGAAAAAGAAAGAAAAAGAAAAACAAAATAAGTTATCTACTGCGTGTTGTTTGACAGGTATTGTTACTCTTGTATTTCGTATATTTTACCTCAAGGGCAGTCTTCAACGGGTCATTGAATTTGATAGAGGCAGCGCTGTTGATGAAAACTGTGGTATCTTCCTGGGCCATAGCCATATCCTCGTCTGAGAGACCCAGATGATTGGCAGAAATATCTCCCTTCACAGGCACAACCTTGCGGACAATCTTTTCTTGAAACTCTTGAGCACTTGAGAATTGGGACTTGACAGTATCAAAAATCCTGCTGCTAAATATATTCTCAATACGATCTTTCAATGTCTTCTTCCCCGAGACCCTGATCAGCAAGTAGATCCTGATGTTTTCATAAAAAAACAAAACATTAACGCTTGTCTTACAGTCGAACCTGATACTTGAAAAAAAAAAAAAAAAGCAAAAGAAAAGGGCACTTACTTTGTGATCTGGGGGAAAGAACGCAGTAGCTTCTCCAAGATGGCCTTGCCAATGAAGCCCGTAGCACCTGTCAAGAAGATGACCGTGTTTTTATTATAAAATTCAATGGCTTTCGCAGGCCCATACTTGTTTTGTGGAGGTGACATTTCTTTTTTTATAATGAGGATAAGTTAAGGGATCGGAGGATATGTTGCTTTGTTTCGATGATGATTAAAAAAAAGAGTGGCTGATTAAGTATGTTGAGAGTGTGTGCCTTAGAGGATCAGGGGAAGGGAGGGCCCCTTTTATTGTATCCGTTACTGCTCAGGATGTGTAGAACACCGAAGTTGATCTGGAAATTAATCCTTTGGTGATTGAGTCAAAAACTTGTTTCACGATGATAAGCAGCATCGACGTTAGCTAATCAAAGTTATTTGCGAATCCTAGACAGGTCTTTCTTATCTTTAATCATCTCCGCTTCTTCGTAATGAGCCGGATCAACAAGGTTCATATGGATTCGGAGGACATTCTATGCTTCCTATGCTTCTATGCAACAAGAATGACGAGTAGTGGGCATAGAAAATTTCGATTAGCTTAACTAAATGGATTTAGCACAGGAAATACCTTGTTGCGTTACTCTGTGTTATTTTTTAAAAAAAAAAAACTATAAGAAACGGAAAGGCTGGTCCCAGGGCGACTCTTCCTTGAAAAGAGGTCGATATTTAAAAAGGAAATCCATGGACAAGGAACCATTCTGAGAGGCATGCCGAAACCTTGGGAAGGAGTGTGCCGGATCTGAGAGGAGGAGACGCCAATGGGGGTCTGTCACAATCTGATAAGGAGTGCACTGGAACGGATGTAAGCTGTTATTAAGGTGGAAGAAGGCAATACACAGCTTCGACATGTAAAAAAAAAAAAAAATTGTATGCTTACAATCTTGTTTAATTGAATGAATATTTTTTAAACAAATGAAAGCTTGAGATATGAAATATGAGATATTAGTGTTTGTTTCTGTCATTGTTGCCTTTATTATCGATCATTTTACTCACAACTCAGGATACGGAACAAGGTGAACATTTTCTTTAACAGTGAGACTAATCAACTTACCTAACCACAAAAACGAACTCTACATGTCCTGTGCGCATTGTCCAAGTACGTCAGATTGCTCTTTTTTTTTTCTATCACGCCTACATTCATATCTGCCACAAATGTATACGCCACCAACAGCAACATGAAACCCTAACCGCCCCCATTATTTTGATTGGCTGCTACACTGTCGCTGATGCGCACAAGAGCTCTTTTGTCTGTTTCTTGCGTAGGCTAGTGTTCTCCTTGGTCATATAAAAATAATCAAGTAAAGAAGTATAGCTGAATTTGCCCCCATTGATCGATCCCTCTCCTTCTTCCTAAACTTTTACACTGTCCAAAAAAGCCTTGGGCACTTCCACTGGATTGAGAGTCATATTGCTTTTAATTCAAATGCCCTCTTCTTCAACTCGATTAGTCGCTTTGCCTCCGCTCATTTATAAATCTCTTTCTCTACATCACATAGTTCGTTCGTCCCCTTTACTCTTCATGGCTCGTCTTGATCATTCTTTGCTCCACAACATACCCATATTACAAAAGAGAGCTGCAGAAGATGAACTAGAGCCCCTACATGAAGGCTCCAGGAAGCGCAATGGTTGGCCTCAGGAGGCACCCATATATCCCTCTGAATCCATTGTTGAACGTGCCGCCAGGATCGCCCATAGTACCCCACTTTCCTACGGCACTAGGAAGAATGATAGCAAGAAAAACAACGGTCATAGTAGACATAAAGGCGACAATCCCAATGCGAACAACGATATTAATGTTTTTATCAAGGAAGAAGAGCAAGATCAGCATGACCCTTCAATTAAAACTAGGAATACACTCATGTGGTTTCGTACTGATCTCCGACTTCAGGATAATAAGGCCCTTTATGAAGCCTCTATGCGTTCCAAAGTAGGGGCCAGACACCTGATCGCCCTCTATATTATCTCCGAGGATGAATGGAAGGAGCATGACGAGGCTCCCATCAAAATCGACTTTTGGATGCGTAATTTGACTAGCCTAAAGAAGGACCTAGATCGGCTAGCTATCCCTTTGGTCACCAAGACTGCAAAGGACATAGCCGACATCCCGACTTTAGTGGAACAGGTCGTCAAAGAGATGGATATCAGTCATGTCTTTTGGAACGCCGATCTGATGATTGATGAGCAGAGAAGAGATGCCGCCGTCAAAAAGTCATTGATGAAGCTTCCTGGCGTTGCTGTTGAGGAATGTAATTGTGAATGCATTGTAGACCCAGCCGATATCAAGACAAAAGTAGGTTTGGGATATGTAGAATACTGTAAAAGGAGGTGTCATTCTAAAAAAAAAAAAAAAAAAAAAAAGGAACGCCATTGTAATAATGCCATAAACTAAATCCTGTCCCTTCATTCCCAACAACAACGATAGACAGGAAACCCCTATTCTGTGTTCACCCCTTACTACAATAACTGGTGCAAGCTTGTTGAGACTGAGCAGCATTACTTGGAATTGACTGGACCGCCTGAAGCCAACCCACCCGAGGCAAAGGATATCTTTGCAGATATCTTCAAAACAGTCCCTTCTGGCTCTTATCCACATTCGCTCGACATAAAAATGGTTAATGAGCTGTACCCAGCTGGCGAAGATGCAGCTCATGAGCGACTAAAGTCTTTCCTCCAATCCAAAGTCAAGAAGTATAGAGAGGCACGAGATGTACCGGTGCAAGATGGAACAAGTTTAATGAGCCCATACCTTACATCTGGAGTAGTTACAACGAGGCAGTGTGTGGCGATTGCTAGAGCTGCCAATAACAACAAGATCGTCTCGGGAGATGAGGGTATCAAGGCATGGATTAGAGAATTGGGATGGAAGGTAAGCTATTATTTCTTAACATCTTCTTACTAGAGCCAAACCATGTCAGACATTACGTCCAACTTTTTTTTATTATTATTTTTTTTTATTGCAACGTTCATCCTTCCGATAGGAATTTTATAAAAATATCCTAATCTCTTTCCCTCGCGTGTGCATGGGCCGTGCATTTCAGCCTAAAACTGAAAAAGTGCAATGGAGTGATAATATGGAGCATTTCCAGAGATGGTGCGAGGATAAAACCGGATTTCCCATTGTCGATGCAGGTAAAAGTTCTCACTCAAGGGAAAAATTACAAAAAGTGAAGTATGGTTTTGTCACGTATAATATCAACTGTCTAATATCACACAATCACCATGATTATTCTCGGTTAATGCTAATAATAATAACAAAAAAAAAAAAAAAAAAAAAAAAAGGCATGCGGCAGCTTAATGCTACAGGATATATGCATAATCGTCTTCGCATGATCACGGCCTGTTTCCTCGTAAAGGATTTGCTCATCGATTGGCGCCTAGGAGAAAGGTACTTTATGAACAGTCTCATCGACGGTGATCTAGCAAACAACAATGGTGGTTGGCAATGGGTAAGGTTTCTACAAATGACTTTGGTCTCCTTCCTTCCTTCCTTCCTTCCTTCCTTCCTTTATGCCGCATTGCCTTTACAGCAATCGAATATGTCAAATTAAATCATCTGTAATTTAAAAAATAGAGTGCTTCCACTGGAACAGATGCGCAGCCTTACTTTCGTGTCTTTAATCCACTTCTTCAGTCCCAGCGGTTTGATCCAAAGGGCTCTTATATCCGTAAATGGGTTCCTGAATTGAGGGGACTGAACGATAAGCAGATTCATGACCCAAGTCATATCTTGCATCCCAAGGATTTTGCTAAGCTTGGGTGAGTCCTTCTTGCGGCGTGTAGATTCCTCACAAAAGTTTTAAAGCCTTAATTCGGGGCTAACAAATTAATGATAACCTTCATTTACATGTTTGTATGATAGATATCCCAAGCCAATCGTGGACCATGCTGTGGCGAAAAAGAAATATGTAGATGAGTTCAAGCGCATTCTCGCCCTTTGAAACAGTTCAATACTTTTTTTTTTTTTTTTTTTTCTTTTTCTTTTGTATATAGGCATGTTATATGTCTCTTTTCACTTACCCAAACCTTTTCCATGGCAATGCCCTAGTTAATATAGAATAGAATAGAGTAGAATATAATATAATATAATATAATAAAATAAAATAAAATAGAACAACATTGAAATGCTAGATGTAAATCAATCTTAATAAACATGCCTTATATCTAGTTTTAATGGTTCTGAAGGCCATCAATATACTTCGAATGGTATAAATGTCTACAGTGGTATCTAATTTACATTTGGTTGTTGTTGTTGATTTTTTTTTTTTTTTTTTTTTTTTGGTGTAATTACTTATTACTGTCCCAAGCACTGGGCCTCGAGCCACTCCAGATCCTGGTTTCCATGATCCTTCTCTTCTTTCCAAGTTTCATTTACAATAGCTTCTAGAAGATACCTTTGTTTTAATTTTACAGTTTTCGTTTCTTCAAGTTTTTTTCTCTTTGCTCCAATAGCTCAACAGACCGGTCTTTGTTACTGTTACTGTTACTGTTACTGTTACTGTTACTGTTACTGTTACTGTTGCTGGTGTAGTTCTTATTGTTGCCTTCGTCTTCGCTACTACTTTCTATTAAAATCAATTCTTGGCCGTCATCAATGACAACCGTTCCCGCGTATTTGGGTGCCTGATTCAGAAGGAAGTGTGGCTCTAATGCTAATGAAGAGCGAGACTTATGTTGAGGATCTGTCCTCGATCTTGTTTGATTGGCTTTAGGATAACGAGAAGCCTTTTTTAATGGCGGAGACCAAGCCAATTGAGCGAAGGCATTCCAAATCGGTTCCAATGGTCGGCTGCAAGAAGAGGCGGAGGAAAGAACAGTGGAGAAGCCTGAGGTAATGGGCAGCGCACGGACTGGTGCTGATGCCGGAGGCAATGGTGACAGGTTAAAATGAGCAGGAAGTGGCTGTTTATCTGAAGGACTTGATCCCAAAGCCACTATTGGGTCACTTGTGGTAAGCCCGGGCGGGGTTCTAGGTATTGATGGCACTGAATGGACCAAACAGTTTTGCTGCTTTGGTGATGGAGACTCTTGAGATAAGACCAGAGAGCTGTCACTGGAATGAGAAGTGGTCTGTGCGATAGCTATGTTTGCACTTGCTTTCGGCTTTGAAACACACCCCTTTGCGTGTACATCGCTATAATGATGTTCATCCTTGTCAATTCCATTTTCGTTGCCGCCATCTTTATTTAAAACAGCTGTATCATGAGAATCTAGGACTGCAAATGAGTTATCAGTTGAAGGAGGACTGAGTAATGATGCTGCAGCTGAAGATCCAGAAAAAGTATCTAGACTTGTCGTATAATATTCAAAACTTGTGATGGGATCCGGACTGGAACTGAGATATCCACTCCTATCAGTAGACTCAATTGACCCTTGATCGGTCTCGTATCCTTCCTGGGTATTGTTATGTTTTAGTCCTCCATGATTATTACCATCTTTTGGCAAATCCAAATCCAGCAGCGCTATCTCTTGAGTGCTTTGATCATGCCACGGCCGGGTATCCTTTAATTCTTCCTGCCTCTCTTGAGCACCAATTAGTCCTTGGATTTTATTAATACTGTCGCCTTGCTGCTGTTGTTTCGGCTGGTGTTTCAATATCTGTGATGAGCTGGTATCATATAGCTCCGTCCCTTCTCCACTGGTTTGTTCTTCAAGAGTCGTGCTCAGGCCTCGGTTCGCGTCAAGCCACCACTTTCTTTTTCGCTCAATAGTCCCCAAGTCCAATGAGAGAGGCCCGTCTTCCAAAGAGGATTGCTCTTCATTATTTGGGATCAATCCATATTCGTCTTCAAGACTTGCTGTGTTTCGCAATTGCCTCTTCAGTCTCTCCATCTTCTTCCGCAAATGGCTTGACCGCGGTGACAGGACAGAACTTGAATCTTGTCCTCCTGTAGTAGTTTTGGATGTTAAGGCTGTGGTCACTACAGAGGTGCTAACATTTGGATCAATCCCAGCCTTAAGCTCAGTTGAGGTTATTCCTAGAACTTTATTATTCATGTCCAGGACATGATATCCTTTTGCAAGGTAAAAGCTCTGAAAGTCGGTCGAAATACCATCCTTGAGACAAGGATCCGCTACGAGGCGAGATCGAAATTGTTCCTCGTACGGTTCTGTGTTCAAAAGAAACGAGCGCTCGTTGTGGGGCATACTTTGAGTAAGTAGAGAAAGGACTTCCCGATTGGATCGGTAGTACGTGTGGAAAACAGCGTTGCGATGCAGGACACAAGGAAAAACGGAACGGGGTGAGACAAGTTTAACGAGTTGTTGGAGTTCGGATAGGGATGCATGAAAACCATAGTTGAAATACTTTGTTTTTGTGGAATTGATAAAAAAAAAAAAATAATAAATAAAAAAAAAAAATTAGTTGATATGAGAAGAGTTTACCATGCTGGAGAGGGTTTGCTTGTCTTCTAACTTACATAGCACAAGTCATCTTTTTTACCAAGGGTGGGTGGCAGCTTCTCTTTGATCTTGTAGGAAATTGCCCGCCCAACCACTGTTCCTTGTGCCAGTATATTTTCTCCAGGGTGATGTTGATTGTTTTCCTTTCGTAGCAAAGGCGAGAACCATGAGATGTTTGGTTGAATCCTAATCAGTTCTCTGGCAGATGAATGCTCTCCACCTGCACCCCCGTATCCACAGGTCTTGCCCAGTCGACAGGAATGAAAGCGAGCACTCGTTCCATCCGTCGTTAGATGAGGCAAGATCTTTGGGGAGATCATCTCATCAATGGCTTCGTACAGTTCATACAAGTACGGTGAAACATGGATCTTTGTGTGAAATGCCTTTGCAAGTCCAATCCAGATGTCTTCATAGCCAAATGTCCAGGCATCAATGTAATAATGTGCCATTCGAGGCCGGCGATGAATAAACGTAATAAGATCCGATATTGCAAGCTCCTATTAGGGAAAAGATATATTATTATCCAGTCGTCAGTAAGGAGTGGATACTTTACTCTTTAAATCTTCAGATTAGGAGGGAAAGAAAAATCCTCCTAGATCAAAACATCACAGCAACACGCACTCTGCTCGGAAGTTTTTCAAAGGCTGGATGACAGCATGTAGTATCCAAATACAACCGATCGATAGGTTGGGATGAAGAGGAAAAGATGGACATCGTACTCAATCCTTGCAGATCCGTAGCCTCGTTTCTTGCGTCGCCTGTGTAGAGAATACAGGAGCGATCATCCTGTAAAAGAAACATGACGGCTCCTGGACAATGATGAGCAGGAATGAGGCTTAAACGTGCTTGTCTACCATTGCCAAGGTCTAGATAATGTGAGATATCTGTTGCCAGTGGCCGCTATATGAAGCGCAGATGGTTATCATAGAGTTAGTATGCTCTTTTTTTTTTTTTTTTTTTTTTTTTTTTCCTTATTTTTCTTGCTTCAATTGAACCATGGAACGGGTACACGTTCATGTACTTTACGTTACTTACTAGAAAAGGCTTTAGATGTGAATATCTGCGCTGCAAGATACGATCTTTCCCCTTCTCGAATGCATCCTGTTTTGAGCGGCTGGCAAGCATAGGAAGCCATTTCGCTGTAATGGGAGAACAAAAGATGGGTGCATTCCAATTTTTTGCTGTCAGTCCAGTGAGATGGTCACTATGGACATGAGAGAGTAAATAAACATTGACACCAGGACGGAATCGGAAATTATCGATGGCAACTGTAGGGAATTCTCGAATGAGACCGTCAAAAGTCGACATTCCAACCAATGTTCATGGGACAAAATTTAGATGACAGAGCCAATGAAGGAAGAAATGAAACTTCTAGTAGAGACATTGGAGTAGAAGAAAAAAAAAAAAAAAAAAAAAAAAAAGGATATTGATCACCAGAAACGACTCAGCCACGCTTTGAAAAAAAAAAAAAAAAAAAAAAAAGGAACAAAGAGCTTTAGGAATAACTCCACAAAACAATTTTTTACTTTGTTTAGCTGGAAGCAACCCGTCTATGTGCAAAAGAACAAAGAAGAGGCACGTCTGCAGGCAGGCAAGGGAAGCCTATACATATGAGCCTGGCTGGTGAACGACACATTTCTCTATTTACTTGATCGACATCTTTTGCTGAGAATCAACCATGAAAAAGCAAACGAAGGAGGATTGAAGATACCTCCTTCAGCTGCCTCAGCAATGCTTCCGAGGATGTGGCTATTAGTGTAATATTAACATGGAGGATTCTTTCTAGAAAATCAACTTGTCATTCTCAAGTGAAGTCAGGCAATTTCGTTCTACAAAGGCAATAGAAATCAAAGCCCATAACAATGGTATTTTCTGGTAATTCAGCAACTTGCATTGCCATTCCAATCCTCAAAAGCAGTTCCTTTCCTTTCCTTTTCTTTTCTTTTCTTTTCTTTTTTATTTCTTATTTTTATTTTTTTTATGGTTTAATTGAAATTAAAGTAGCAAGATGGAGTGCTTTGATTAATATGCAAAGAGAAAGGGTAGATAATTTAGAAATGGAGCTGTCCTAGGACAGGAGGTATTTGATTTGTTTTGTTGTTTTGATATTTTGTCTTTTACAGCTTGGAGCGAGGTGTATTCTTGCCTCTGTGGGCCACCAGATGAGGCTCCATGGAGTCAAAGAGGTCCTGTGCCAATTCCGATTGTGATTCAACAGTATCCTTCGAACGAGGTGATTGCAGCTGCGCCATCTGAAGCTGATAGCTTGATTTTGACTGAAGATTCGGGAATGAATCCGAGCGACCGTTGGAGGCGAGGTCAATAAGGATAGACTCGTTTTTTGACATGATCATGGATACTGAAGAGACAGACAAAGTAGTAGTGCTGTGGAGACAAAGTATGGAGATAAAGAGGACAGTAAAGAAGAGAGAAAGTGAGAGAAAGTGAAGAATTACCCTTGGCTATTTATTTATTTTTTTCCCCAACAACTAATCAGAGTCCTTGATAGCCGCTTTAATATTTTCATCCCCAGCAAAAACTTCTTTGTGGAGCTGCATCAAACATAAACAAGCTTGTTTAGCTGAGTTTTTATTTTTTTCTTTTTCTCCCAGAGAGTAAAAGAGATGAATGGTTAATATCAAGTTTATTCCCACCCAACAAAATGCACGTTCCAAGCTGGGTGAATGCCAGCAGACCTGCGAATTGTCCAATCATTGCAACGCCTTTCCGCTTTGACCACAGAATCAACTGTTCGCTCTTTCCATGGTGTCGAAAGACAGAGTTGTACACCAATTCAGTATAAATATTTATACCATGTTATCCGTCCAAGAGAAGAGAAAGCTTAACAATAAGCAAATAAGCAAATAAGCAAAGGCTTTTTTTTTTTTTTTTACCTTATCCATTGTAAGAGTGAAAGGATCGTCGCAGCTTCGATATTTGGGTTGGGCTTATATTACATGTCACGTGAAGAGCAACGGTAAGGAGTGAGGGAATGATTGATGATCATGGCCTTCATTCCTAATAGGCTTTCAACTGTCATCATAGCCCTACCTCTCCTTAATCTAACTTGTCACTGTTGACATTCCCAAAGAGGTCTCTTTTTTCTTTTCTTTACCAACCTTTGTTCCTTCCGTTACGTACAACGCGTCCTCACACGTAAAAAAAAAAGAAAAAGAAAAAAAGAAAGAAAGTACAAGACAAAAAAGCCATCTGGCATCATGGCATCAAGTGGCCATTCACATTCGCATCTTCAGCATTATCCTCAGATAATCCATGAAAACGGAGAGACATCTGATTCTAATGAAGAGTTTGCAAGTGCTTCTGAAGGCGATGATGATACGCCATGGGAACCAATAATCATCCGAAGCCCTATCATGGCACGCCAGAGTCCCAAGTTGACCGCAACTCAGGGCCACAGCATACTACAGCAACAGCAACAGCAACAACAACAACAACAACAACAGCAACAGCAACAGCAACAGCCAGACCAACGTGTCCCAATGCCCCGTTCCAACCCCGTTGCTGACGTTCAGCATCAAGAGCAGCAAGAATACCAGTTGAGACATGGGGAACATGACCACAACCAAGAACAACAGCATCGTGCTAAAGATGCGCGTCACCACTTTGAACATGAGATTCAACACCAATCCCAGGAGCAACAACCACGCCAAATTCATCATGACCAACTACATCATATCAGCTCCTATAGCCATAGTCAATCTTACTCCGATAATAGTTCCTCAACCTCTGAACATCATCAGTCATATACTCATTCCCAGACCCAATTTCAATCTCAGCAACTGCACCAGAAATCCTACCAGTATTCTTCATCCTCCTTATCCTCAACCTCTTCAATTTCCCATCATGAACAAAGTCAAACCCCATCGCGTGGAGTAGCACCAAAACTGCGTGAGCGAATGCGGCAAAGCCCAATCTTACACTCGAAAGTGGTAAAAGCTTACCTTGACCCAAATACTTCGGTTTCACAACGACAGATGACACCCGAGCATGTCCACAAAGTTTGGTTGCAGGACCAACAAGACATGCAGCAGGACAGTAGCGAAGATGACGGCGATATTGAAGCCGAGGAAGTAGGGCATAAGGATCAGAACGTTCCCTCTTTCACTCAGAGTCCGAGTATGTCTCAACCACATATCAATGCTGCAGCACCAGGTTTGTTCCATGTATCGAGATATGATTCTAAATGAGTTCTATTAACTTGCGTTTCGATATGCTCACCAAAAATAATCAACTTTACTAAAATGAAATAGTAAACTCCATGGGCTTTGAGACATTTGCATCATTGGGCCACCAACAAAGGGACAACGCATCATTGGGCTTTGGTGACACAATGGATATGAATGTGATCCATCAGCATGCCGAAATGGATACATCCTGGGGCTTTGATGATAAGGCTAAACATTCATCTGCTCAAAACTCACAATCAACAAGACCCTTTTGGCCACACCAGCAAGTAACGAAAAATAGGCAGGTCCCACAGTTAGAGCAAAATGAAACAGAGGCATCATGGGGATTTGAGGACCAGATTATCTTAGATGAAGCACTTTCAACAGAACAGACAAACTCCTTATGGGGGTTTGACCAACAACTAGTTATAGAGGAAAATTCTGCTACAATATCCAGTGATCTCCCGGAAGCTGCTACAATCGCTAATTCTGACGATTATCCGCATATTCATCAAGTTCACGAGTCTGAAGATGATGCATGGGGCTATGACGATCAGCTCTTAGATATTGTCGAGGCCGTCCCACAGGACGCAGGGGAATCCCCCTCAACAGCAGCTCAAGAGGATTTTACGCGCGTTCACACTCAGCTTGATTCTGAAAATTATACGGATCATAGAGAGGTGGGTATTTAGGAGTAAGGTCTCTGATTGCTGTCAATCCAAGCCTACACCCATGGCATACGAGCTAATCGGGGCATATGGTTCTTTTTTTTTTTTTTTTTTTTTTTTTTTATTAGTCCACGTATGATAGCGCTAATCCCTTCGCTAGTCCAGAAGATGCCCTTGTACCTGATGTTGCTTCGGCATCCGAGGAAAACCGACAGGGACCATTATTTACAAACGAAGACCTAGATGATGCTGAAGTTCCCTCACAGAATTATGAGTACCATGCGCATGATGACATGGATAGCTCATCTCATCTCAATCTTGAACAGAGTACTAGTTTTGAGCCAGTTGAAATGAATCTTCAAGATCAACCTCATGTGCAGCCAAAAATCGTCCCTGAATCGCAGTTTGATACAAGACAAGACGTGGATAACAAAGTGCTCAGATTCCATCCCACGGGGGTTGACGTTGAAGAGTCGAGAGTGGAGGCAGAGATAGACGCAGATGCAGAGGCGTCCTGGGGCTTTGATGTGGATGAGGTCATTGATATTGAACAACAACCTACAGATCGAGACATGAGTAGCAATGATCTCAGGCACGGAAATCATGACCATATTTCTGACATGCAACCTCATGATGGAGATGCTCTCCATGTCCACAACAATCAAATCAAGAATCAAGAAGAGGATATAAGGTCTACAAAGGGAGAGACACTGACGATGGTTAAGCAGTCTAAAGGTAGCTCCGTAGGCGACAATGAGCATGATTCTGAGATTCGAGAGGTGAGCGAAAACCATAAGTAATCTTTAAGCAAAACGATGGATGAGTTGATGACTCATTGGTAAACCGTCATCTCATGCGTTGATAGATGCTACATGGATCCCGCCCTCAATCAATGACTGGACCAAGTATCACCTACCAAACGGAACTGAACATCGTGGAGCAGCCTTCAGTCATTAATCCGAGCTTTGATGCCCATGATCGCTTAGAGAATAACGCTTGTTTAGATCATACAACTCGCCTCCAAATAATACCTGACAGCCTTCCAGAGTTTATTGAGACAGAGGGCCTGAAAGAGACATCTGAACAACGATTTCCAGCTCCTATGAATGAGGAAGACAAGGATATAGAATCTGATCTGGAGAGCAATGATATCTATGGTGACTTATCGACCGCGCGCACAGGAATTAATGGTTCATCTAACCGATTGAATGAGGTCCTTGATGATGATGACTATCTGGAGCATATGGAACGAGGTGTTCCCATGAACCGGTCAATCAGCACACCATACAGCGACGATGAGCCCCCAAAATTTATCATGGATGATGTTGTTGCAGAGCTGATGGAACGTGGGGAGCCTCGACCTATTGATGGAAGCCACATGGATTTTGATGACCTAGAGTATGAGATCGATAATAACGGCTTATCTGAGAAGGACAGTGTTATTGACAGTGTTCAAATCGCTTCTGATCCCGCCAAGTCTGTATCAAGGATCCCAGAGGAACAACAAACCGCTTCTACATCATTCTTTCCAACACACATGGAGGAGCTCATTACTGCAGATGCTATCACAACTCTGGCTCCGTCAAACATTACTGTTATAGATGAGCCTGAGCTACGTATTGAGCCGCCAGACCACCAGGATACAGGTGCCCCGTATCTAGAGTCCGAAAAAATTGTTAATGTTGTAAGCGACGATCACGATCCTGCAAATCCATTCAGTGATGCTGCTGCTATTGATTATCAAAATGCTTGGCCTGTTTCAGAAAGCCTTAATCTCGGCAATGATGAGCTGTTTCAACACCAGCCAGGAACTACTGAACCGATCCACCATCATATTATCGAAGCATCAAAGCAGATCTCTAAGCAGGAGTCAGTGGAAGAGGAAGCTTGGGTGGGCTCAAATGTGGACCTTGTCACCGAGTCTGTTTCAACAGAACCTTCTACTACAGCAAAAGTTGTCAGTGACGCTAATCAGCTCGCTGCTCAATATGAAATAACTCCAAAAATCAACGCCAAAAATATTATTATGAATAGTATCGAAGATGTATGCACCAATCATAGCGTTAATCTTGTCACAGATACATTGGGCTATCCTACTCATAGCAAGAAAACAGAGGCCAACCCTGAGTTAATCATTGAAAATGAGACTGAACACCCTATATCGACAACTTCGGGGGTGCAAGACTCTCATGACAATGAGTCTGCTCAAATCCTCCACGGTAACACGATAGTAGCAAGCGTGACAACGACTCATGGCACTCATGCCGCTACCGACTCTATAATTGATGATAATGCGTGGATTGAGCAGGAGAGCGAAATCTTTGAAATCAATGAACATCGCCAGATTGATCAAGGCCTACAGCATAATTCTCAGAGCCATACATCAACTAATGACAGGATGGCAATGCAACATATTCACACCGTTTCAAGCTTTGAATCAAAGATTAGTGTTTATCAAGAAAAAGCTCTTGAAGAGACAGTTGAAGACGATGCATGGGGAGATCAGGATATGGACATTGTTATCAACTCGGCTCCAGAGCCGCTTGTGGAGAGAATAAACGAACCGTCTAGGTTATCAGAGGAGTCGGGGATCGAAAACGAGCAAAAGCCTCATCATCATGGTTCTTTATTTACAGCCGACATTGATGAGACACTCGAAAAAACAGAGTTGGAGAAATCACTTGATATAGCATTGGAGGAGGATACATGGAATGATGAGAGCCCAAGTCTTACTGTCGAGCCCGTTTCCGTTAGTAGTCAGAAGCCTCATGAAGCTTCAGCAATTCCAGAGCCTCCTCGTCATCACGCCTTAGGACTTATCTATGGAATTCAGGATATAGAGATCAATCCTGTACTCGCTAATAATTTAGATATCGCAGCTGCGAAGGATGCATGGAATAATGAAGGCATTCATATCCCACTCCGCCTAGAATCTACCCAGGATTCGACAAATCTGGAGACGTCCGCTGAAGTACATGAGGATACAGACGATATCACCCAGGCAGCGCACAACGATGTCGAACCACTGTCTGTGATCAAAACTGAGGCTACACAGTCGCTCAACATTGAACAATCCCTTATTGAGGGTACTGAAATTGACGCATGGGATGATCAAGACGCATGGAGCGATCACGAGGCCAGCAGCTCAGTTGTAGCAGAGATGGCTCGAGTTTCAACATCAACACACACAGCTATCACGCATAAAGTGATTCAGAACCACTCTGAAGTGGAGTCTGAGAGGCCTGGAGAATTGGCTACAACTTCTGGACGTCAGGAGGCGGTTAATCTTAACGCAGCGGATGATAAATCACCAGAAAAGGGTCTGAACGTGACAACTGGTATGGTTTCAATTCACTCTAGTGAATCGTATTCATCGGAGGAGCCGAACTGGTTTACAGAGAAACATCATGAGCACAAGGTCCAACTTACTGAAAAGATCCAGCATCGTTTATCAGAAAACTCGATTAATCAAAATCACCATGTCGTCTCTACGCCTGCAACAGCAGCTGATACCTTCACTCAAAGCTCAATTCAAGAATTGACCAAAGTGACTGAATTTAATCTTGATGAGGCATTGGAAGGAGATGCCTGGGCAGATCAAGAGGAAAGCAATATCTTTGTCGACCAATTGCAATCCGAGATATTAGCCTCTACTTCTTCATCAGCGGAGGCTACTGTAATCGTAAATGACGGAAAGGAATCTGAGGATCACCATCACGCCGATGTCGTTACTAATGACTCAGCAAGCCCATTTATAGACCCACTTCAGCGGCCTTCTGTATCTCCGACAAAGTCCAGGGTTGGATCCATTGCCTCTAGGCCCCAAAGCCAACAAGAAGAGGTTGCTGAAGATGCCTGGGGATGGGATGAGGACGAGGTTGAGGTTGATCTGGAAATTAAAGGATCTATCGATTCACAGAGCGTCAAGGATATGTCTGATGATGAATCTGATATGCAAGGGATTCAAGTACGTAGCGAGGAGTCGTCTACTCAATCTGCTACAATAGCTACTTCACAAGTGCAGACGGAGGGAATCCCGATGGAGTTAAATTCCCCGTTGAATTCAACTTATGAGAGCTCAATACAAGTCCCATCACATATAGAAATGGTGAACTCTACTATACCTGAAAAGCCATCGCCACTTGCTATTCAAAAAGAACCATTTACGTCCGATGCTGTCAGCGGCAGAGGAGAGGGTGAAGAGGGAGGCTCTAGCCATAGCCCCACATGGCAAGATGTATCACCAGCTTCAGTGTCGAAGAGAAGCGAGACGGGTATGAGTATTGTGTCAGAGATGGAGTCAGAATATTCAGTCCGATCCATGGACGAGTTTGGCCGAGTATCCCCTATCACTGATCATACGGCCCATGGACATAGCCACCATCTCCATGTCGACCATGGCCGTGATCATAGCACGAGCTCAATCTCTTCAGGATCTAGAAGGGCCATGAGTAGTACCATGTCATGGACCGATCTGAATCAAGACGATGAAGAGGAGGACGAATGGCACGTTGATGTCCCCACTGAGCCCATTGACGCTTTTACAGCTACGAAAGATATTGCAAACAAAGACGCTGCGGTTTTAGGGCAGGCCTCTCATGGAAAGGTTGAGTGTGTCGAAGGAGCTACATCTTCACAAGGAATTTTGCCTGATATCATCAGTGATGCCGATTGCTGGGGCTTTGATCAGCAAGATGAGCAGGATGATGCAATCGCATCGAAAGTCTCGCATAACCTTCTCAACCCTCCAGATTTGAAGCAAAGTAAGATTTTGAGTAGCACCGCCGCTCCATCCGGCAATACTCCTAACGAATCTATTACTTCAAGTTCGACCTTACCTTCGTCAAGCCAATCTCTCCAGACACCAATGTCGACGTCGGGAACTACTGTGGCAACAGTGACAATAGATTCATCTGAAGCAGAAGATGACTCGCATTTGCCGCTTGCAATTCGTCAACAACGCGCACGGTTAGCAGCAAAGGGTAAACCACTGCCGCCCATTTCACAATATAAGAAAACCGCTTCCACCAGTACTTCTGCTACCATTGCTGAAGATACAGATTATGGTGTGATTGACGCCACTACGGCTTCATTAGCAAGTGCGCCCCCGTCTGTAAAGGCTGTCGATAGCTCCTTATCAAGTACTATAACGCCAACTGCTCCATCCTTAGCAATGGATCAGAAATTTTTGACACCTGCGCTTCAAAGACAACGAGAGAGGTTAGAAAAGAGAACAGCAGCAGCAGCTACCTCTTCAGCACCTTTAAGTATATCTGCACGCCGCCTGACCGTCACGGAACCCACAGCACAGGATACATTGCCGCAACAATCTCACCTTCTCCATGGAAAGGCTTCCTCTCCACGGTTGACCCCGCAACAGACTTTGACGAAAACCACGACGACAACTTTTCCTTCCGCGCTGAAGCATATTTCCCCAGCTTCACCCACTGTGGCAAGAAAAAGTGTTCAAATCAGTACAATTGAATCCAGCAGTATAAAATCGCCAACATTCTCTGCATCCTCCAAGACTTCTTCGCCCGTGACTGAGGAGTTTGGAAATCTATCTTCCCGACGTAGATTATCAAGCGGCGTGCATAGCCTTGTCCCCACAGCCACTCCATCATCGCCTCTGGCTGGAATTGAAAGCGGTATGTTTGTGTGTCGTAGCAGGGATGGCAATCGGCCCAAGTCAATAGCTCATCCTTCTTCAGGATTAGAGAAAGATCGTGAAGTGGAAGTTGTTAGGACTAGCCAGAGCGATGCTCATCGACAGAATCATGCGTCAAGGTTATCGATATCATCTTTTTCGTCCAGATCCGGATGGGAGGGTTCTGGATTGGATGAGGAGCTTATAGAAGACGATTTGGAGAAGGACTTTAGTAGCAGCAAGAAAAAGCCGACCGATATTATTGCAATGACAACCAAGATCAGCGAAGCACCTGCGTTCTTAGTAAAGTCGTCTTCATCTTCGTTTTATCAACAACCAGTTCCTGGATTGGACGACAAAGACGACGGCGAGAGCAACCGTTCTGGTGATAATAGGACTTTCTCTGTCTCTGCTTCGTCAGCTTCATATTTGAGCAGCAAGAAAGCGGATAATTACGATCCTTATGGACCCACTGGCGTTAAGCAAAAGGCTAAGGCCTCGTACGAATATGAGGAAGATAGTAGGCCTTCATATAATGAGACTCTGATTGGACAGGTAACTTCTACCCCTAGGGTATCACACTTGTCGTCCACCTCAGGATCAAGTATGAGCCATCGGCATGAACGGCATGAACGGCATGAACAGCAACAGCAACAGCAACATCAACAACGGAGTAACACCAACTATAGTAATAGCGGTGGAAGCGTTGGTGGCTTCTTTGGTGGAGGCGGTAACAATAGCCTTGTCGGTGATATCGCCAACATTCTGAACGAAAAGAAGATGCATGAGAACGAGAGCCATAAGAAACCTTCGTATACTTCGGAATTGGCATCGACATCGACATCCTCTCCGAACCTACAAAAATCCAGTAGCTGGTCTTTTGGATCGTGGGTCAGTTCAGCCGTCGCAGCTGCATCAGAAACAATTGACAAAGCATATGAATCACTCGATCCCGAATACTCCAAGATAAAGGCTGCTCGAAGTGGTAGTGGACATTCAGATAACAACCCTGACATCGGAGAAGACCCTGAGAGTACAAGCCCATACAAGCGGCCTGGATATGTTGTAGGCGGCAGCTCCTTGGCTCTGGGGCTGGCATCAATCTCAAGAGGATCACCATCTCAGCAACAATAAATCAATTATTAGAGTAGCAGTAACCACCTTATCATTATCCAAACACTCTCTAAAAAAGATCAATGCCTACAACATCAGTTATTCCCACGTTCGGTCAAGAAGAATGACCCTGGTTGGTAGATGAAGGAGTAAATATAAAAAAGTAAAGAAATCAAAGTAGGTAATAGTGAATAGTGAATAGTGAATAGTGAATAGTGAATAGTGAATAGCGATAAAAATTGATTTCACTTTAATACATGTTCAAGTAAGAGCCTTTCTATTGATTGCAACATTGAAAGAAAAATGGATGCACATAATTACAAGCCGTACTATATACTAATATTCCATCCTTGGCACATAAACTATGGAGGTAAAAAAAAAAAAAAAAAAAAAAAGCAAAGACTCGATTATCGTCTTCGCGAATACCCTCCTGTATACATTGGGCGAGGAGGACCGGGAGTAGAAGGGCTTGAACGAGAGGGTGGAACACCAATCAAACCACTGCCACCAAAGGCAGGACTGGAAGGATTGGAACCATAACTAGTGCCTCGTGGAAAAGCGTTTTGCTCAGCGAACGATTGTCGACTGGAAATTGCGCCACCATTGGCATTATTACCGCCGCCACCGCTGGCGTCGCTGTTGTTGTTGTTTTTGTTACCATCCCCCTTACTTCCTTGTATTCGGCCATTATTGTTGTTATTACTGCGATGTTTAGGATTGTCAGGTAAAGAGTGATGTAACTTGCCGCCACTGTTACGTTGTGAGCTAATGCTTGAGGACCTTGAGGGCGGCTGAGAGGCGCTTGAAGATGATATACTTTCATTTGATATAGTTACACCGGTCGCTGTTGTGGGCTCCATCATGTCCATCCGGATATTGTCTGATCCATCATGATAGTCTGTCTGACTTTGACTACTCTCATTCCTATTATGCCTTTTTGATTTTTTGTGATTTCTGCGACTATTGCTCCTATTGCTGTCTTCACCCGCTTTTTCGTCATTTTCATAAGCTGTGTGATCAAGATCTCGGTCGTGGTAATTCCATTGATCTCGATCCCGATCTCTATCTCGGCCACGGTCACGGTTGCGGTCTCGGTCTCGGTCTCGGTCTCGGTCTCGGTCTCGGTCTCGGTCCCGACGCGAATGACGATGATCGCTTTTGGATGAAGAGTGGGAAGCACCACTACGACGACCATCGCGATAATCGTCATGATAGTGACCTGAGCTCCTGCGTTCACGATGCGAAGAGGAGGACGACGATGACTTGTGGCGATTGTGATCTGAATGACGGGATGTATCATGCCTTGAAGAGGCTAAGTTGTTATGGCTAGTTTTTGCAGATGAACCCGTAGCCACTCGATGTTGTGCTGTGCTCGGTTTTAATGTTGTATTTGCGGAAAGTCTAAATGTTGCAAACGAGGTTGACTCTGAGTTGCTAAAGAAAGCAGAAGTACTTGATCGAGCATAGGATGGCCTAGGTCGAGAACAATCCTGCGATTCAAGTAGAAAACAAAATCAGAAAATGTGACAAAATAGATTTGCGCCATTGACTAATGATATTTGATTCCTCGTAAAAGACACAGGTTTCAAAAAAAAACTTACATCGCCAAAATGTCCAGATGCGGAGCAATTGTAGCAATATTTTACAACCTTCTGTAACGGTTCTTTCGAGACAACGATGTACTCCCGCCACACAGTGGGGCAATCCTAGAACAGTGACCATGTAATGATTCTTAGTACTTAATGCTGTGATCCTTACAAGGCCCTTCCCTTACCAAATATATATACTACGACTGATATGAGATGTTACTATCACTTTAATAGAGACTTTACCTCTGTAGCATGGTTCCTTGCATAGCACTTGTTACAAGATGTGTATGCGGCGTATCCTCTGGGGTATGGACAACTCTAGTCAGTCCATAAGGAACAATTTATCAACACAAGAAATAGAAATAAAACAAATGTTTTTCGTTTTTTTTTTTTTTTTCGTTTTTTTTTTTTTTTTTTTACGAAAATACATGTTCTCAACACCCTACATCGGAAATGTGGCCTTTTCTCCGACAGTTGAAACAAACTTGTGTTGGGCAGTCCTGTGATGTGTGGTCATCCTTGGTACCACAAATATTGCACTAATATAGAGAGAAGTATTAGAATTCGGTATCCAATTTGCTCCAAAGGAAAAGTCTATCAAATCCATTAAAAATAACAACAATATCTCCTTACAACAAGGGCCTGACAATCACGAGCAATATGTCCTCCACGTCCACATCGATGACATAGCTGTTCTTTCGGTTGACCTTTAAACTCCATGTAGTAGCGGCTACGTCCCTAAAAGCAGTAATTTTTACTCCATTTAGTGCATTTGGATGACATGTCATGACCTTGTTTATCGCTAGCGAACGAACGACTCATTACCTTGAATTCTTCGTCTTCTAAGTGAGCAAGCTCCGAGTCTACATCATAATTATTTGATGCGCCTCTTAGTTCTACTACAGGTCTACCCAGATCCAGGATATGTTGATCGTATGTCTCCTCTTTTTCCTCTCCTTCTTTCTCTTCCTCCCTATCTATTTCCATATTAGAACTTGGTGGTTCTTTGTCACTGACTTCGCTTCCAGATCCAGATATATCCTCTTCGTCGCGTAAATCATCTCCTTCAGGCCTCGTCGTTTCGTTCGTTTTTTGACTGTCACTTTGAGGCTCTACATGTTGATCCCACGTAACCGCATTTACTTTCTTCTTCTCTAGATTATAACGAGACTCCTCTTCCGAATTACTATCGTCCTCAGCATCAGCATCTTCTTTTAAATCCTCCGATAGCTGTTTATTTCCTGTCTCTGAAAATTTTCCTCTTTTGCGTGAGGTACTTTGGATGTCTTCATCATTGTCCGAGTCCAACTCCGTTCCCTGATTGACAGCCCTGAAATAGTCTTCTGCCGCAGTCGGTGATGCAGCGAGACTCCCTATCTTTGGTAATGAGTTAGTTGTGTCTTCGGTAGTATCCTGCTAATGAAATCACGAAGGACAACGATGTAATAGCTTTAGATAGGGCTATACATCGTTTTTTTTTTTTTTTTTTTTTTTTTTTGTAATCGGAATAATTAAGGGAAGAGAGGTAAAAAGAGAACTTACGTTAGTGGTGGAGCTTGAGCCAACTTTCTTGTACAGATTCGACGAGTAGTGAATGTGCGCTAACATGTTATCTTCCAACTCACTATCCACCTCGTTGTCGGACGTACTAACCAAAGTCAAAAAAAGACAGTTGTTGTCAGTCAAACTTCCATCCTGGTAAACAATAGTTTTTTTCAGAGAGCCAAAGTCAGGTACCTTTGTTCGCTGGCATCCCTGTAGAGCTCATCCTCGTACTGTTGGTACTGATCGTATTCTTCTTCGTCGTAGTCCATCTTTCACTCTGTTTCTTGCAATTCTCATCCACTCTTGTATAGTTAGACCTTTTTTATTTTTTGCTTCTTTTATTTTTTGCAGAGAGACAGCTGACGGTTGGTGTCTACGAACGCAGTCATTTATTGCTTGAGGACTCGCGGTTGTTACAATGAACAATGTGAACTGCCCGAAACAATACAAAAAAAAAAAGTTCCTTTCCCTCTTTCCTTCACGCACGAAGCACCTTCAGAAAAAACAACAGTAGTTCAGTGGCTGAAGACGAGCCAAAAAATAGAATTGACCTTGGTGCAGTCACAATAACAAAAAATATATAATTGTATGAACCTTTTTTATTTTGCATTGTGAAAGTACTTGACATAAGGGCAATGATGGGCAAGAGTCAGGGTGGTGTGGAGAGGCGAAAATTCTAAATATGGAATGAGAAGACAGAACATACAAATACGAACATTAAACATCGTTTAGGCCTCGACTTCAGTCGACTTCTCAGCAGGAGAACCCTTATTTGGTTTAGGGACATCTTTCTTCTCCTTGCTTTCCTTCTCCTTGCGGGCCTTCTCAGCAGCTTCCTTCTTCTCCTGCTGCTCCTGTTTCAACTTTTCCTCGACACGGCGGAGAGCCTCATTGTTGTCAACAGGCTTGGCAGCACCGAAAGGGCTTGATTTGTTGCTCTTGGCCTCAGACGCCGCAGAAGAAGAAGCTTCAGCACTACGAGGCTTAAGCTCCAACTTCTTGCGAGTAGCAGGAGCAGGAGCAGAAGCTATCAAAGCATAGTATCACCAAGCATCAAACGTTCAGAAATTATACAATAATAAATAAAACGGGTTTCTTTCATAAAACAACTCAAGACCAAGATCAAGACCACGCAACATACCAGGAGAGGAGCGCCATGTGGATTCTCTAGGTTTCTCCCAGCCGGGACGGGTTTCGCTAGAAGGAAGGGGTTCCTCACGTCTCCAGCTACTAACGTTAGTACGGTCTGGAGGGCGTTCAGAGTTGTTGAAGCGAGATCCAAACTCGCGACGGTCACCGCGATCGCCACGATCACCTCGATCACCTCGATCACCACGGTCACCACGGTCACCACGGTCGCCACGATCGCCACGGTCGTTGCTGAAGGTTCTGGTAGGAGGAATAGGTTCAGCACGGCGCCACTCTCCAGCTGTGCGATCCTCACGAACTTCGCGTTCACGAGCTATTATTCAATAAACAACTGTCTAGTCAGATGTATCATCTCAGATATCAATATGCTTGTAGAAATTCAAAATCAAGCTCGTGACTTACGAGGCTCAGCAACGCTGACGCGGACGTTTCTACCATTGAGGCTCTGACCACTGTTACCCAAAGCCTTCTTTAACGAATCTAAGCTGTCAAATTCGACATAACCAAATCCCTTAGGTCTGTCCTCGAAATCCTTCATGATGCGAACGCTAGTGATCTGAAGAATAAACACATTCATTTATAATTAGCACAACAAGTACAGACCCCATAAAATCCTTTTATCCAATAAACAATTAGAGTAAAAAAAGAAATAAAATAAAAACATCGTACATTTGACTCCATAAAGAAGCTCTGGATATCCGTCTCAGAGACATCAAAAGGCAAGTTGCCAATGTGGACAGTATATGGAGGACGGGTGGGAAGATCAACAGGAGGGCGAGACTGAAAGCGAGATTCTCTATCTCTATCTCTCTCCTCTCTATCACCAAATCCTACAAATTGATTAGAGTGGATTTTGTTTACAGTTAATTGATGGGTAGAGCAATCTTATTAGATAAATCCCATAGAGCTATCGGTCAGATATACTAACGTTGTGACGACGTATCACCACGGCTAGTGAAGCCACGGCTACCGCGGTCATCATGACCGAATCCGCCGGTGCGGTAACTATCAGCTGTAATCAAGCAGAATGCATGCCCATATCGAGTTGATGATAAGTAACAAGAATTGACATGTGCAATGACAACGATGATGAAATCCACGTAGATGCATCCTGCAATCCATGTATTGAAAATATACCTTGAGTGACAGCTATTGATCAGTTAGAGAAAGATGAGAGTCAAATAAAAAATTTGTCCATGCGACACGTTTGTCATGTCATAAAAAGCAGTGCTCAGACAAATTTGAGATAGTGTACTCACCAGCAGGGGCAGAGGGCAAATCATCCATCTCGTCAGCCCAGGAACCCGTGGCTGAATATTTAGTTTACGACATTTTATTCAGGAACCAAAAAAAAAAAAAAAAAAAAAAAAAAAAAATTGTTTTGGAACATTGAGTGTATGAGTGGTAAGATAGTCATTCCTCCGATTTTGCTTTTATTCTGGGTTCCGCCTTGTTAAGAGCCTTCAACCCATTCTCTGAGCAAAAGGTCTTTGTCGACAACAGCGACAGAACGACAGCAACAATAACAATAGCCATAGAAAATCATTAAAAAAAATTAAAAAAAATAAAAATAAAAAAAGCAACAATTGATACGCACAGGGATCTGACAAGAAGTCGCTCAGGGCCATCTTGGTACCCTTCTTCTTTTGCTTCTTTTGTCCTACTGAAGAAAGATTGCAACATAATTATTAGTTGCTTGCAAATGAAACAAGAAATGTAACTAGATCGGTCTATGTTAGAATTGGTATGAGACTAAAGTGGGGAAAGGAACTCTAGGAGTCATGTAAAAGGGGAAGGGTTGTTGCTGAAGATATGTCCATAAAACTTGAAAGTATGCGACAGCGGGAGGCGACAAGTCAACTGAGCACAATCGTTAGATGTAGGAACATTGTAGATCAGTCATGGAGGGGGTAAGAGAAAAGTTAATGTATATAGGACATTGAATAATTGAGCGCATAATAAATGGCACACCTTCAGTCATGTTATGTGGATTGGAGTGATGGAAAGAGACAAATCAAGCTTTGAGTGTGCCTATATGACCACACGCCAGACACACCGCCTCTGACACTGCATTTTATGCATAGTTATCATGCAGACTGGGATTTTATATATTATAACATAAACAAATGAAAGTGGCTTGTGTCTGCAAATACAGTCACGTGAATATACCCAGCCACCAACATAAAAAGCAGCACCAACACATTTTTTCTGCTCTGATCGGCTCAAGTGCAAGCAGGAGGTTTGAGAGGAGGTTTGAGAGGAGGTTTGAGAGGACTGAAAAAAATAGAGCAGAGAAAATAAAAGCTGTTCATCTGTGTATGATACATGTATCTTCTAGTTTGTAACATCTCCCTTGAGTTCTCTCTCCAAACAGAGTCGCTGAGAGCGGAGAGAGCCCTGTTCATTCTCTTTCATCTACCGGGTCACAGGCGTAAATAGACAATGGATAATAGCTGTGGTGGCAATTTTTGTTTATCAATCAATACTGATTGAATGATCTTGTTGGTCTGATTGGATATGTGTGGGATGCATGTTCTGGCCTATTTCAGTTCGTGTGTCTAAATTTTTTTGAAGGAAGAAAAACATTAGAAGCATTAGGTTAATTACACGATTGGTTCATACCATCAAAAGTATGTAGTAATCCCTTCACATAGCCCAGCCTGATCGTCCTCCATAGTCATTGGTTTCACCAGGGGTCATCCTAGATAAAAAAAAAATAAAAAAAATAAAAAAAAGGAGTATGATCACCCATTTGCCGCCTCATGCCCAAGCTAAAAAGTCTTTACAGCCATTATCATGATATTATGTTTGCAGACAATGATAACAGAGAGTGAAACAGATGAAGGTTGTAACAAAAGTGTTGTCATTCTTCGTAGGATAATTGACAAAGATCCTTTGCACAGCAATATCAATCATGATGAAAAGACTGAGATGAAGGCACCGGCTCTGATACTACATGTAGACTAATAAAAGATAAAAAATAAAATAGAGTCCATAACATTAATTTCGAGCATGGATGTAGTGAGCAAAAATGTGGAAACAAAAAAGTAGTGCTCGAAATAAAGCACTTTTTTTACCAGATAAAAATAACAATGCCATGCAGCGACCGAATTGGAAGAAAATAACGTTTAAATGAAGGTTATTATGGTATCAATGCAAGCGAGCAACGGATGGTCAGCATCAACGACGAAGAGCAAAGAGAATGAATAGAAGGGACCAGTTGATTATTATTACGCTCATTTGTTGGACCCAAAAAGAAAAAAAAGAAAAAAAAAAAGTATTTATAAAATGAGTTTGCCCTTTTTTTTTTGTCTTTCCTCATCAGTCGCATCATCTCTTTCTCTTTTTCCTTACTCTTCTCATTCTCCCATTCTCTCTTTCTCTCTCCTCTTCTTCTCTTCCTTCATTCTCACCTTTACCCAGCCTTATCCACCCTTACCAACCCTTACCCACCCTTACCTTAGAGATTCATTTTCTCTCTTTGTCTTACGAACGAACAATTTCAAGATTTCAAGCAGAACTCCATTTCTGATCCCAATTCCATTGCTAGCGTAGCCTCACCACCATGTAAGTTATATACCGTTCCCGTATTATTCTTGCTTCATCAGAAACAGAAGAGAGTAGGGAAACGTAGCTTTCAAGCAGAATCTTGATGCTGCTTGATGGATAGATATGAGCAACAAGGCTGTGTATATTTTATCACCCTGGGCTTTGCTGCAAGTTCCTCATCCTTGAGTTTAATAGAAGAGATCGATCAGCTTTTCTTTTTATGAATTTCGTTTTAACATTGGTCAATCAACTATATCACACAATAGTATGTCCGCCCCTACCACCCACGAAATTCTTCCCGGTCGTCTCGGAAACTTGACTCCAGAGCAGCAGGCTACTCTGGAAGAGTTCAAGAAGTTGATTATTGCACAGGGCACTTTTGTTCCTGAACGCCACGATGATCACCTACTTCTTCGTTTCTTGCGTGCCCGCAAGTTCAACATTGAGGCAACCAACAAGATGTTCACCGACTGCGAAAACTGGAGAAAGGAGCTTGGTGTGGATAAATTGAAGGAAACATTTGTCTTTGAGGAGGAGGAGGTCGTCCGCAGCTGCTATCCCCGCTATTACCACAATGTGGACAAGAAGGGTCGTCCTATCTATATCGAGCATATTGGTGTGATTGATATCAAGACATTGTTCAAGGTGACAGATGAAGAGCGCATGACAAAGCAACATGTTCTCTCCTATGAGAAGCTGATCACAGACCGCATGCCTGCATGCTCAAAGCGTGCCGGTCACCACATTGAGCAATGCTGCACTATTCTTGATCTCAAGGGTGTCTCTCTTCGCCAGTTCGCTAATGCTTTTGGATTTATCAAGCGCACTTCCGCCATTGCCCAAAACTACTATCCTGAGATGATGGGTAAGATGTACGTCATCAACGCCCCTATGATGTTCACTTCCGTCTGGGGTATGGTGAAGCCCTTGCTGGATGAGGTTACTGTTAAGAAGATTGTCATCTTAGGAAGCAATTATCAGTCAACTTTGTTGGAGGACATTGATGCTGAGAATCTCCCCAAGGCCATCGGAGGCACTTGCGAATGCGCTGGCGAAGGAGGATGTCAAAAGGGAGAACCAGGTCCATGGAAGGATCCTCGTTACATGAACACACCTGCAGAAAAGACTGCCTAAATCAGTGATAAACGAATATATACGATAATAAATGATAATAATACAATACACTATACTATATTTATCCTCTTTTTTTATTTTTGCAATATCCCAACGAAATAAATAAGTAACATTTATAACAGGTTTGATGTGCAATTAAAGATTAAATTGACATGCTACCGATCCATTGATTGGTCTTTGCGCCTGTTTGTGCCTAAACAAAAGTGTGGACCCAAGTGTGAGCTTTGGATTTATATATCACCATTGATCCATTGATATGCTTTAATTGTTTTAAGCACAACCGCATGCAGTACTGAATATATATTTATAAACTGTGCTAATTCAATACATAATTTGTCTGCTTAGTTAAATGCCACACACTTCGATACAAAAAACCAGAGAACCAAGCTTTTTGGTTAGACATTTCAAATATAAATGGTTTACTTAACAAAATTCTTATAATCGAAAACGACTAACCAAAAAGAGCGACAAGCTTGACCCTCTGCAAAAAACACAGGTGCAGCGCCTCGGATGTGACTAAGAATGAAAGTCACAATCGCATTGGGGCCATGGGCTAAATTTCATAAGCGGATGAAGGACTGACCATCTGAATTAGAAAGTAGACCACAACTCAAGGCTTCACGTCATATCGACTTTGTCCACACCGTCAGCAATTCAAAGAAAAAAAATGATCGATCTTACACAACAGAGTCGTGTAACCATCGGTGATGCATGCATGTAGGATTAAGATTTTAGTTTTGAGGATCAGGGATCGCCCAGCCATCCATCTGTTCCACGAAGTGACCATGATCCTTTGGAAGAACAGAATCCTTCATTAAAAAGTCATAGAGAGTTTGATGTTCACACCCAAAAAGCGATATACGGGACAGTCCATATTTTGCTTTCAAACACCGTGAATCTTTCTGGAATACTCTCACTTCATTAGTGGATAAAAGTTGGGACAAGAGGTAACCAAGCTCCGATCACAATGTTCGCATGAATAGCTATGTCTGCTATGTCTCTGCAACATCCACACTACGATTTTAATAATTTGCTACCACTTGGTACTCATGATGATGCATAAGTTGAAGGTCTTGAATGCTGCTCTCTCCAGAAGACTGTCTAAAAATCACCCTTTTTAGACTAGATCCTCCTCCTGGTTGCAAACGGAGTTAAGAGAATGGATTACTTTTATCCGGATCAAAGAATGTATCAATTGGTTCTGGAGATGTGATTTCTCAAAGGTCTCTAATCCGGGATTTGAGCTTGGTCAAGCCTTTCTCGTAGGAGCAAGCGCATCATTAGGCGTGAACAAAAGTCATTTTATCGAATTCCATCAATGGCCTTCGTACTATAATCAAAGCAAGAGCATAGACGCTAGTCATTAGATCAAAAGGATATTTCTCAATCCGCATCAGGTGGCTCTATCGAGGCTATCGAGTTCAAGCTTTCACTTTTCTGCAGGTGTTCAAGTCGGCTTTCTGTTCTACACAGCAAACAGAGAAAGCATCGCAGTACGTATGGATGACTTACAATAGAAGCATGAAAATGTAGCAACAGCATCGAGACGTAGAAGGGTGAAATCAGCAGGGACTGCAACTATTACTGACTACCGCCACAGTATTCTGCAGAAGTTCCTACGGGGGGAAGCCAAGGTGATTATTACAGTGAGGCCAAGTCAGTTCCCGTTGGGATGTGTTCATTATGTGAAAGGTCTATGATTCTAATACCGTAAGTAATGGGTTAGATGACTGAAGCTTGTAGCTACCATATAATGCTGCTCGTGTCAGTTACGCTGGCTGATTGCACTCAATGCTGTGTAAACATTCCTCTTTCACGGGCACGCTACTATTCATTGGGTGTTTCGTACATGTACAACTTTACAGATGTAATGCTGGGACCAAATACTGAATTAAGAGCTGGTAATAGCTTGTTGGTCAGACAACGAGCACCAGTTTGTGATCATAGGCGCACTAACTTAATTGATCAGACGACTATGAAAAAAAAAAAAAAAAAAAAAAACCTCCCAAAGCATTTTGCAAACTTTCGCGAAAGCGAATGTGCCTCGTGGTCATTGTTCCTTGATGAAAAAGCAAAAAGCTCCGCTTTCCCTTGTTTGCCTGTCATTTGAGAAAACGGGTCTGTGTACCAATGCACGAGTGGGAAAGCAAGAGACTACATCCCACATCGACTACTCACGATCAAAGAAAAACTAGTCGCGCACATGGATTTAGGCACATTTAACATGTGTTTTGGCGAAATATGTACATACTCTGGATTCACCATCACCGTCATCATTGTAATCATCGCCATCATCATGGTCAATCTCAAAGTAAAAGAAGTACGGAAACTAAAAATCCGCAACGGCTTTTTTTACTTTTGATGTCTGAAAAAATAAATTTTACAAAACAAATAAAAAAAAAAAAAAGAAAAGCTTCTGAGCACTGAGAGAGCGTGGAAGGCGCACGTTGCGCAAGGACTCGCCCAAAAATGGGCCCTCTCCTCTCCCATCGCCTTTTGCACTCGTCCTCCCAGCGACAATTTGGACATTGCATTGCATGCATACACACGAACACAATTCCCCGTCCCATCACATCGGTTAGTCCGTCCATTGTAACCTCGTGTCTGGTTCTTGCTCGTGCCTGGCCTCTTGTTTTCTGTGATACCTTTTTATTTTCTTTCTTTTCCCCTCTCTAAATGTACCGTAGTCCCTTTTTTCACTTCTTTACTCTTGTTCCGATCACTCTCTTCTTTTTTTTTTTTTTTTACTTTCTTCTTTCCTCCACCCCCAGTGTCTTTTGCATTGTGTGGCCTTGTTCATTATAGCAATAGCACGAGAGTCAGGTTACACACAAGAGACGTGATAATGGCACACTGTCGTCGTTGACTTGACCCAAACCTGCTCCCAAGACTTTTACTCTTCCCTTTACATTACATTCCTTAGTGTTTCTTTTTTGTTGTTCTTAATTGTCAACTTGGTTCGCATTTACCCTCACTTTACTACTTTTCTTGTTTCTGTTTCTGATCGATCGCTTTTCGCACGCCAGCAAAGTGTGCTCACATCTCGCGTGCAGTTCAGTCGCACACGCAAGGTCTTTCACCATTTCCAGACATCTCTGCAACACTTCCTCCTAAATAACCCAACATGAAGGTATTCAGTCTCTCTCTCCTATCTCTCACTTTCTTCACGCCTACCTTTCTCTTTTGCCTTATACCAAAAGCACTCACATTCATCTTTTTTTTTTTTTCTTATTTTCTGATACGACTGGATTACTTTAGTTCGGAAAGCAGATTCAGTTTCAACAGATCACAGAATGGCAGAATCACTACATGAGCTATAAGGGTCTGAAAAAGATCATCAATTCGCTTATTCAAGAGAAGGCCCAGACATCTGTAACCATTGCAGCTTCACCACCTCCTGGATCCGCACCTGTTGTCGTGGAGGATGAGTACTCCAAGTTTTTGCAATCTCAAAAAGCTGCCTTTTTCTTCAAACTGGAACGTGAATTAGAGAAGGTAAATCATAACTTTAACCTGGTCCAACCGAACTATCGAACTATTCTGTTTCGACATGATCAGCATTAATATGTCAAGTATCATATATACATACTTTTATCTGTTTTTTCTAGGTCAATACGTTCTACCTTCAAAAGGAATCGGAGCTCAAGGTTCGTCTGCGCTCTTTGATTGATAAGGAAAAGGTGATCCTCTCGCGTCAAGGACGGCCAGGGACTAGTTCTTCTATCAATTCACTTAAAGAGGCCTTTAGGCAATTTGAACAAGATCTTAACAAACTCCAGGTGGGAATATAATCTCAACTCAAGTTTCATCACCACCATTTACTGCGAGTGATCAGTTTATCGATGGACCATAAACAGCACTAATCAGATCATACTCTTTTTTGCTTTTTTTTTTATTTTTTTTATCGACCCTAGAAATTTGTTGAGACAAATGGAACTGGATTTCGAAAGATCTTGAAGAAATGGGACAAGCGTTCAAAGTCCAGCACTAAAGAGCTGTATCTGTCACGACAAGTCGAATTACAGCCATGTTTTAATCAGGATGCTATGGTTGAGCTTGCCGATAATGCAGCCTATCATCTTCTCCAGCTTGAAAATATTCAGCAGGGCAACGGCCGGTCGTCATCTGCACCACCCAGCCCCATTACCACTAAACCCTCGCAGGTCTTACCTACAGGTGCTTTCTCGTCACCCATACAACAACAAATGGATGAGCTTGAGACTGATCTCTTCAATGCTCTTAGCACCAATCAGTCATCGCTTGTGCAGGAGATCCTTGAGCGACGTCTTGCGACCCCTTCTGCTCTTCAAAACAATGTCGTGTCCGCAGAGACTATTGCTGCCACTTCTAACAACAATAACCAGATTGGGCCAGAAAACGCGAGAGAAGTTGTTTCGCGAGTGTTTTGGAGATGTTGTTCAGAGATTAATACTTCCGACAGCGTCATCCAACTGCTGGTCAAGACTGGACTGATAAATTTCAAATTTGTGGATGACATCAGTGACAGGACTTGCTTGCATGAAGCCGCCATGGTGGGTCGACTCTCTCTACTTAAATTGGCAGTGGAAAATGGTGTCAGCCCTGAATGCACAGACGTTTATGGAAGACGGCCTCTTCATTATGTCTCTATGTATGGCCATGCCGACTGTGCGACTTATCTTTTATCGATGAATGCTTCCATGAATGCTACTGATCATGATGGTTTCCGGCCCCTGATTTATTCTATTATGAATGGACATACTAAATGCGTCGAAATCTTCCTTGCCAACAACGCTGAGATTGAGGCTAGCCAAGAAGGCGATCCAATCCCTCTAAGCCTTGCGTGCCATTATGGGCATGAGGATATTGCTATGATGCTTATTGGACGTGGAGCAAATGTAATTGCTTGCAATGCCGATGGCTTGGAACCTCTTCATATCACCTGTCGTGAAGGACATACCCGGCTCGCCAAAACACTCACAACTCGTGGTGCACGCTTAGATCAAGAGGATAAATACATGTGCTGGACCCCACTCTTCTATGCAGCAAGCGAAGGCCATGCAGATTGTGTCAAGATTCTGTTGGAAGCTGGGTGTAATGTGAATGTAGTGGACGAGCTTGGAAAGACACCGATCTACTACGCA